TGTTTACCAAGAGTACTCTACTCCTATATAGATCGATCAGAATTGATGAAAAAATGAGTTGCACTTTCAACTTTTGAGTCAATGATCTGTTCGAATCTTAACACGTTTGCGTTCAATGATGTATAACAATTCTGACATATTTACGACTGTACATCTCTTCCTCCTTGATTGCCCCATCAATGCCCTTTCGTCATTGGTTGCCTCTCGCATTAGTTCAGGAGCCGAAACGTGCCGCAATTAAAATAATTTAAGCTTCATCATATGAGATCGTAAAAAAAACCATGTGCGCCTATAATCTTTCACACCACTAACATATTCAATAAAACTAAAATTTGTGCATATGTGATCCAATTTGGTTTTATTTTATTTGGCTATGAGAGGATATACGATACAAATTTTATTTTTAGAAAAAATATTATCAACCACCATTTGTGACTCAATTCAAAAAGTGTCAAAAAAATGATTGCACTAGAAGAAGATTTTGTTTATCAAATACACTATAATATTGATAGTTTAATTCCAAAATTCACATGATTGAATGATAAATCAGATTGACTCAACGTATTACGCATCTTCCTCAACATTGTTTGATTGAGACTCTAAGTAATAATATTTTTTTGGGAAGTATAAACCATAATGAGATGATGAATAATCCACTCAACACCGTTTGATTGAGACTCTAAGTAATAACCTCTTATTGGTAAGTATAAATCATATTGAGATGATGAATAAGCCACTTATGTTTGCAATAACTTCAAAACTACTAAAAAATACTTCTCATCATTATTCATACGTAAATATTTCACATTGCGTTGAGTCTAAGTCTCAACTTGGGATTTTCAACTTTTGAGTGCTGTAAACATCTCATACTTGTGTTCAAGAAAATATACTCACACAAAGCTTGACTAGTCATCAATAAATTATACATAGTAAAAGTTTCAATGAGTGAATCTTAAAAAAAAAACTTCATTGTATCACTATGTAGATACTAAGTAACTCATTAGAATTGTGAATTCTAACATCAAAATTTTGTCTATTATGCTTGACCAATGCCAAGTACCAATGTTTTCCTCTACTAGTAGATACAAGTTCCTGATATTCATGTGTCATAGCTTAGAATGCCACACATTAATCATATAAATTTGAGATCTAGTAAAATTAACTTCCTCACGAACGATTATGTACTCTAGCAAGTAAAGTTCTGCTTATAAATTTTGAAGATAATCTTATCATAATCTTAGATTACTTGCTTAGAGCTCCAATCAAAACTCTTTGAATATTCACAGTTTGTTTCTAGAGATACTTCTAGGTTTTTGTGTTTGAATAATCACAGTTTGTTTCTAGAGATACTTCTAGTTTTTGTCGTTGTATTTCAGCGATTGCGGCCTCAATTACTTTGCCGGGTTCCATAGTATTTGATGATTATATTCTCTAGAAGATACATGTGAAAGTCAATTTCACATGTATCTTCTAGAGCATATAATCATCATGTTCGTCTTATGTCGTACCCGGGCTCCCTTCAATTTAGTGTCCGCCATATTGTTACAATAAATGTTTGAGATTGTAGCTAGTCTCGTTCAAATGAAAGATTCTTTTGTTCACTCTTTCATATGAGATTAAATGTCTGCAACAATCTTCTCCAAGTTTATGAATTTCAGTTGGAAAATATTTGGTCAAAAGGTGAATTATTTTTTTCAAACGGAATATTTTGACAGTGAACGGTTCCTCATCCACTAGTAGTTATTGAGGATTCATGGTCCAACGATCTTGATCCAGCGTTTTAGGGTTCAGGTATTCTTGTCCAATGATTTAGAGGTCATTGTCCAATGGTACTCCTGCACACTTCCGCACTCGTTTTGTGCGTAGCATACTGTCCACCTTGAGTTTTTTTTGCTTCCATTTTACTTCCCTGCAAGCAGATAGTTGTGACGCATGTCGATCACAACGGCTCCACAATTGCTCTACGTAGATCGAGCACAAACAACATCAACATCAGCGGCTCCGCAGCCTAGTTTGTCAAGCAGAGAGTAGCAGCAAACAAGCGACGACTCTACAAGCAAACGAGCTAACAAAGATATAAATTGCTCCTAAACGGGTAGCGGTATGAATAAACATCCACACTTATGTCAACTTGAGTTGCGAGTGTCCGCATCTTGACAAAGGCCATGCATTTTGCTGATGACAAAGAAATTTGAAGCTTGAATTTTTCAAAATTTCAATTTTTAGATTGCATATCTCTCGAGAATCCAACGTCAAGGGAAATATGAACCATTCAAGATGCGCGGTGTAAAATCTTCAACAGCCGAGCTCATGAGCAATCATGTGTAGTCGTCAAATGAAGTATTTGTTAGTCTAAATCTACTATTGTAGCTTTTTATCAATAAATTGGCAATCAAAACTCTAAAGCGACGATTGCAATCTCTTCACGGTCGTCTCAACAATTACGACTTGCTCATTCAAGGGAAGTTGATGATCGGTTCATATATATCTTACTCTTTGCCCTCTAGCCTAGGTCTCCTAACTGCATTTTTGGCCCTGAATGCAAATCCAATGCATATTAACTACACCAAAGTATACTCTACTTGCACACACCTGACGAGGATGCCGCTGAATAAATAGGAGATTATGGCATGGTAGTGGCTTTAGCTTTCCCACCAGTTTATTGACCTCTTGAGTTTGACCATTCTCTCTAATTTGTGGAGATTCTAAGACTCTATTTTAAACTTATACTACTCTAAGTCTTAGCCACTATCATTAGCTTTGGAGATTTTTGTTAGCTTCAAGCATATCAGCACTTGCTATGTATGTTAAATGTATTTCTTGCCCCAATATCTTTCGTTAAATATCGCTATTTTTGCTCTTAACCCAGCACGTTGGCATATCTGAAAGGTTCTGAAAGCTGGTCATTTTTTTCTAATTATTGTTTTGATGTCTAGACATGCGGAATGTTTCCTACCTCCTCGTTAGTGGATCTCCCTCCCCGAAGCTCATGCAACTATCTCCCAGTCATTCGTCCACTAATTGTCCTTGATTAAAAATTTCTCGATGTCTTGTCGTCAACTGGTTGTAACAAATCTCAGTTTGGAATCTTCACCTTTTCGAGATTGGCTGGTGTCCAATCTGGAAAAGGTGAAATTCCGAATTGAAATTGAGCTCAAATGATTTTCCTTGTACTTAGCGTTGTCCTGGTTTTCAAATGTAACTACACTGTCGTGATCTAATGTGTCCCCAGTATCCACGCGTTCATGAATCAAATGGTTGCTAGAAGGTCCCAAGGTCCACGGCCAAGGCTGACATGCAATTGATGAGATCCGGACTGAAGCCGAAGTATTTCACATCGGATCAGATCAGGTCTTTTGCTTCGCGCGCGAAGCAAAAGAAGAGGCTGGCTAGCTTGAGGTCAACTCATCATACTCTCGTACTAATGAGGATTCATATCTTTCTAATATGTTGCATATCCAAGTTATGACACGAAAAGTTTCCTCGCTGCACGCCGCTTGCTCGGGAGAAAATGATAAATCGAGAAACCTTTGCAGCACATCGGCCGTCTGTGGGATTCCTGATTGTTGGTCGGTTACGTGGACTGGTGGCAAGATGCGCGAATGCCAATACGAAGCATCCCGAAGAGAGAGAGAACAGGAAGAATTATCAATTGACGGAAGATTCGTCCAGAAGACACCTGCAGCTGCAGGCCTTCCTGCCTTGCTGCCTGCCCGTCTCGTGACGCGACGGCGATGGACGTGCAGAGGAAGGTGCCACTGAAAGTTCCTCTCTCTCTGAAAGTTGAGCCCGGTCAGCGATGGACAAGACTCCTCTGACGCGATCTTGGTCGACTTTGACGACGACTCTTGGTCGTCACGTTCCCCATGTGCTACTTACTCCTTTGCCCTCAGACATTTGCCTGTTTCTCCCGTCCTCTGCGTCACTGCGCTAGTATTCATCGTCAATCATCTATGGCACTGGATTGCAATATGTATCAACAATATACATGATTTTTCTACGATGTAATAATAAAAAGCTAATAATTCAAAGTAAATATATTATATGAATCTGATCATTCTATAATATATTGTTGAATTTCCATAATTTACATATCACAGATGATATATGCCATGTATCTTATCACGATGTCATCTAAATTTGACATGTTCGGTTTGATGATTTCTTCTTTTCACCATGACATATTGTAACTCTTTACGTGGAAATTATTGAACTTGATGCCAACTAACATTTGACTTCCTATGGTTCTCGGCTAATAACGCATGCACCCACCAGTCAATTCCCTTTATTCGAAGGACGAGGCGGAAGGCTAACTTTGTCTTGTCACCTCAGCTACTAGGAATATGAAGGATTCCATTATGTGAAGAATGGGTATCATGTTGCGTATATAGTGCCGCATGAGACGAATGTGACCGAGTACCAAATAGAAAATGGTGCAAGTAAACTACTCCAAATGACCAAATAACTTCGAGTTTTACAGTTGGTCTTGGGTAACCCTTTGGAGAGACGATGATATTCATCATCTTGCGTCATGATGTGGATGACTACAGATAGACGTAGCACCTTATCGCTTACAACTGATTTACCTTTTCTAGGTACGAGACCCTCACATGCTTTAACTCCATATCTTCATTTCTGCAATGGGTAGTAGAAATTGATCTGAAATGAGAGCAACAATGGTAAAGAACTGCGAGCCAAATCAGAAGTCCTGCCGCTCGGGCCCCAGCACTCGTCATACAAGGCTCATACGGCACATACTCAGGCTCAGGCTCATCCTGGTGAAGGTCTAGTACAACCGACTGTAATGTAACAAGTAAGAAGGAAAAGTAGCTTCGGAGCATATTCCTGGGAATGGGACCACAAGTAAACTGGGTCAGAAGTCAAAGCTTCCTCTGTCGATCTGCCCGAAACTTCTCGGATTGGAAATGAAGTCCGCAAGAGCAATCAATGTGCTGTGCAGTGGGATGAGTACAGTACATCAGATTAGAATTCCAGTGGAGGAACTACTCAGTCCGGCTATAATCTCCTCTCACGCGTGATCTCCAGGAGTGCTCGGTCAAGGCCTCGACTCTCTGAAGGCACGGCAGTGCAGTGCAGTATATGTAGAGCAGAGTTGTGAAGTGGACCAGTGTCACATAAATAGCTCGAGCCCGAACTGTTCCAGGCAGAGCAAGGAAAATCGAGACGTAGACACTGAGAATCTCTGAACGGGTTGTGGATCTGATCGAGAGGAGGATTCGTTGCTGCGGCTTTACAGATCAGTATTAGCTTCGAGGCTCATCGTCGTATAAGGACACCGTCTGCACTCGTCGGTCAAAATTGCTTCCGCGGCCAGCACCCCAGGCCTTCGGGCTCGAATCCGTCGATTATTCTCCGCTGGTGGTGGTTCTGCAGCGAGTGAGGCGAAAGTGGACTCGAGCCCAAGAGGAGGAGGCGGAGGAGCAGCAGCAGTGCAGGCGATAGACGGGAGTGGAGTGCAATCCGAGGGGTCAGCAATGGCAACAGATGGAACTACTTACTTCATGTCCCATGCGAGTCCCATGCTTTTGATGCCTGAGATAAGTGGCGACATGCCCTTACGCGCCTTCTTCAAAAAGTTCCCCCAGACCGTCGAGCGGCCCAAGGCAATTCTGGCCATCTCTGCTCATTGGGACACTTCCGCTCCAACAGTCAGTAGTATGGCTAAACAAGACACAATTTATGACTTCGGAGGATTTCCAAGGGAGCTCTATAAGGTAAGCCTCTCCCTCTCAGGCCTCTGACAGTCCTCATGGTCATGCCTACTAATCATGTACAAGCTTCTGTGATATAGAAGTGATGGTTTTTTCCACGAGTATGAAGATCTTATGCCCGCAATGAGATTTCTACCAGCAGGTCCTAGATCAAAGCACATTCGTAGTAGGGAACCTCGTGGCTGGACTTTGAGATTATGTGTGAAGATCACTGAATGTTAGGTCACACATGTCATGTTTGCTGATGAGTCGTCCAATTGAACCCGGAGCATCGGAAGAAAGGGAAGTCAGTGCAGATTAAAACTGCAGTCCTCCTTCTCGTGCATCTTCAGTGCATAGTTTGACAGTGAGTATGACGGAGGATGAGTCTCACTTTGGCTTCTTGCCTGAGCAGATCAAGTACGACGCCCCCGGAAGCCCTGCTGTTGCGAGGAGAGTGGTCGAGTTGTTGACAGCAGCAGGATTTGACGGTTCAAGGATGGATTCGAGGAGAGGGCTGGATCATGGGTCGTGGGTCCCTATGCTTCTAATGTATCCCGACAGAGATGTTCCTGTTCTCCAGTTATCAGTATCGAGTCGGAAAGATGGAGCCTGGCACTATGCCCTGGGACAGGCACTTGCGCCTCTGAAGGACGAAGGCGTTGTCATCATGGGTATGGGTCAAACCACACACAATCTGCGCGAAGTGGATCGTTACCATTCTGGTCCTCCTGTTGGTTGGGCTCAGGCTTTTGACACTTGGCTTTCCGATTCTCTCATGAACAAAAAGTAAGTTCTTATCCACTCTTCAGGCAGCTCCTGCTTCTGTAAACATGGATTCCTCGTTAGTTCAGCAATCTTGCTTCACTGCATTCATTACAGAGCCTGAGTAATAATCTAGATATCACGTCTAGAACTCTTAGAGAGATGCTTGAGCGAATTGGGTGAAAAAAAAAGTTTTAGTAGAAGCTGGTGATTGAGTCAGCTACATACTCGACCAAAACATAAACACATAAATGTCAGTGACAGGAATCAGTGAGTTACAGGACGAATCAAATATGAGGGAGGGAGGTTGGGGGTCGATGGGGTGCTGCAAATCTATCCATTTTAATTCTTACCCATGACATTCATCAAAAGAGTGGAAAACGTGGGATTTTCTAGGCTCACTTATGCCTTATAAGTTCAGAGCTGAACAAGTATTTCTCCCGTTTTGGCTTGCTAAATCAAAAACTACCATCCACCAAAGGTTCCTGTGCTTCCTGTGATTTAACTAACGAGGATTGGTCAATTAGATCAAACAATCGAGATGCTGATTTGTTTATTTGCGAAAAGTAGGGGGAAGTTAGATCGTTTAGCCAAACATATGAACGGCTGTCGTACAAGATTAGTTTTGCCGTTTGTTGTTTATTAGTCCTTTGGAACTGGTGTGATGTTCATATCGAAGAATTGTCGGGCTAACCCACACTGATTCTTTGCTTACAGGTATGAGGACGTATGTAAATTTATGGAGAAAGCTCCCTATGCTCGCAAGTCTCACCCGACCCCAGAGCATTTTCTGCCACTCATTGTTGCCCTCGGTGCAGCTGGAAAGGATTGCAATTCGGAGACAATTCACCATAGCTGGGAGCTCGGAACATTTTCCATGGCTTGCTTTGCCTTCCATCCTGTTACTGCAGCTGAGTAGATTTAGATTCGACGCCAATAACATCCAGTTTTTCTTCCTCCTGTCACCCCATGCAAGCCCGATTAGTTTAAAAAAAATTTCATAATTTATTCGCTGGGGTGAGATTGATCAATTTATCTCAGCATGCTCTGGAATATTCTCTAGTCGAGGTTCATGTGCCAGCAAAGTTAGTGACCGTGTACAGTAGCAAGAATAAATTGAGAATCATTTTGAGGATTTGACTTCTTGACGGGGGTCGCTTTGAACGTCAGTGTTATGTGTACTATGAACCTTACGGTGTTGCAAGTGGTTTGTTATGTCGCAGAGCAGTTATAATTATCTTCCAAATGGTGTACTTTTTTTGTTTGTGATTGTCATATTTCATGTGTGATTGATTATATGGAAGAATGGTGTATGTACTTTATGGTGATTTAGATTGTCAGTGTAAATTTGAATTAACTATACTCAAACGAAGAACATTTGCATAGTCAATGAGCATATAACAATGTCCCAGGTAAAGGATCGAGCTTGGACAGTTGACCATGTCAACCACCTAATTCTGAAATAATACGCCTTCCCCAAATCTGCCGTCTTGTTGCAATTTTTTTTTTTTGTATTACTCTTTGTGGAAGAGAGTAGGTAATAACCTGGGCAACGAAGCTGTAATCGAATACCTTGTACGCAACTCACTAACCTCCATCCGAGTTGAATATATCCTCTTTGGCATCATCACAATCAGAAACAAATTGGACTAATCATAACCTTTGCCTCAATTCCAATTTCTTCTTTTTTTCCATAGTGCCAATTCATATCTGCACAGTCCACGCATGAGTTAGAGGGAGGAGGTTAAATAATCTATTCTACGGCATTACGATATTGCTGTGATCTTACGTACTGTATACATACTCAATACATCTTCATTACATTTTAGTGAGAATTAAATTCACTGTTCTCATAACAGTCAGCTAATTCTAACACACGATAGATAAACATTACGCATACAACTAGAACTTAATGCAGTTCGGGAAATATCAACCTTTCCCAAACAAATTAAAACAAAATGAGATGTTCAATATCATGTATGTTTAAAATCATTCCTGCTTTTACTAAATTTTATCACCGTCATCAGCGTGTGAAGATAGGTGAATGCTCGAAGTACTGCACAAACTCCCTACAATCGTCTTCTACATAGAGGATCCTACCTTTACAGTACACAGACAGACACGGCTGCTATGTACAATTTCTGTCATGGATTGTTGCGTATCTTCTTTGAGGCTTCGTAATTCAGTTCCAGAAAGACAGTCGCCCAGTCTGTGCCTGGTCTGTCCATTACTAGATACGCGAGGGCCAGTTAGAGCTACCGATGAAACTCAATAGCTGAATCAGATATCGCTGGTATATACAATTTCTCTAGTACTAAACCCAGTTCATCTTCAGAACCTGAAAACCGAAAACTAGCCTCATCGGAATTAATTTGACTTCCTTTCTACATGCGGAAGACTCCGTAACTGGAGACTTGAGGAGCAGTTTTAGTTGAGGCAGAGAGACATAGGGACAAGACTTGACGGGTATCCGCCGGATCTATAATGCCATCGTCCCAAAGCCTCGCACTTGCGTAATAAGGGTTGCCCTCTCGCTCATATGCGGCTACAACTTTATCCTTGAAAGCCTCCTCTTCGTCACTGTTCCACTGTAAAATTTTGGCACGAAAAAATTTTTCAGATAGATTTCTAACCCATGGATACTATTTCGCTTTTGGGAACTAACAAAGGATGAAGTGATCTAGCTCTTGCTCACATTCAACTCGTCGACAGAATCTTAAGTCCTACGTAGAGCAGCCATCTAAACAACCAAGATAAAGAAAGCCAAATAATGGATGAACAAACTCACAACTTTGCCCTCCCGTTTCCTCTTGTCGCTCTCAACCTGGGCCAAAACACCAGCAGCCTGTCCAGACCATAAGAATGTTCAGAAAAAAAAACCAAGATTCAGGACAAGTTGCATGGAGAGATGCAACGAATTAGAGGTATCTTCCTTTTCCCTGCCAAAGTTGCAGCCTCACTGTGTCTCTTTAGCTTCAACTTTATCAGGAGAAAACACAACAAATAACTTCGAGACACTGGGACCAACCTGTGCCCCTCCCATAACAGATATACGAGCGTTGGGCCAGAGAAAAAGAAAGTTTGGACTGTACGCTCGACCGCACATCCCATAATTTCCAGCTCCATAACTTCCTCCCACGACAATGGTTATCTTCGGAACCTGCTAAGATACGATTGTCAATGAAGAACACGCCGTTCTGACAGGCAAGGAACAGACAAAGTGGAGGTATGTGAACAAACTTGACGTGTAACAGAAAAGGCGGAGTACAGTACCTTCGCACATGCAACAGCCATCACCATCTTGGCTCCTGCTTTAGCTATACCACTGGCTTCTGCTCTAGAACCAACCTGAGAGTTATGACACAAAGATGTGAGCATACATCGCAGTACACTTCCAAGAAACCTGGGACATATGTCAAAACTATCAGTGCGTGCCAACCCGTGACAGAATGGGTCACCTTGTCAAGGCAACTGCAAAGCCTTGGACTTGAATCAGAACAGCCTAGTCCAGTTAGCGCTGAGTAACCCTTGAATATCTAGTTGCAAGTGATAAGAGATAAAGTAGATACAACTTGAACAGCCTACTGAGACATCGGAAGTTTGGGAGTAACCTACCATAAATCCCGTAATGTTCTGAAGAAAGATTAGTGGAATGTGTCGTTGAGCGCAAAGTTGTATGAAATGAGCTCCTTTGAGAGCTGATTCCGTAAATAATATACCATTATTGCCGACAATACCAACAGGTTGCCCATTAATTCTTGCAAAGCCTGTCACCAAGGTCTTTCAACAAAGGCACTGAAGGTGTAAGAAACTAATCACAAACTCAGCACAATTCATCGGCAGCTGCACTCATTGTGCCATTACATCATTGCAAGAATACAACAATTACAACAGTGTTCAGGTTTAACAGTTATCAACTTAGATTTCTATGAATTCCGCATCCACCCTACCAAGATGCCAGTTGTTCTGTTCGAAGAAACCGATATTATCACAAAACCTTTTGATGAAGCATTTTCAAACAGGTATTTCGTGGATTATTGGCCTAATGTTTCTGGCTGAAACTTGAACACGAAATACAGGTAGTAAGCGAGACCTGTGAAGGATTCCACCACCACAGACAGTACGGCCTGAGTAAATAAGTAACAGCTTTTAGTTTGGCTTATAGCTGTAAGCGTCCAAGGGCGCTAACAACTACAACCATCGTAGTATATCCTCCCAGAATTTACTTCAGTGACCATGACCATACAGTAATTATATTGTACCAAAGAGATGACTTCTTACCGGTCCATAGAGCTTTTTGAATTCGTCAAATTCACTTCCGTCCACGAGGTGCGCGATGACTGATCGGATGTCATAGCTCTGTCGTCTGTCTGCTGGAATAATGCCGCGCAAACCCTCGGGTGGATATAGAGGTTCCCTAACTGTTGCTTCTGCTGAATTAACCATAGCTTGCTTGGTAATGCCAGCATGATGCAAGTTTCTCACAATCTTCCTCCCTGTAGCTAGAGCATGCATTTCATCTGACATCAAAGGCAAGCATAAGTGTTACTAAAGCTACACAAGATTCCTCAGCAAACTTTTATCCTTACTTATCATACACGTATCTGGGGAAAAGCCTGAAACTCGAAACAGTCCTGGACGAGACCTGACATTTTCTAAGTAAAGTAATGTAGACAAACGCTTCGTGGAAAAGGCGAGCAACATGCCAGATGAGCGGACGTTTACTCCTGCCTTTATGACGTGACACGTTGAGCAATTAGCCTAGACGTATAACCTTTCTTCGTCCTTGACTACTCTTGAAAGAGATTGAGTATATAAGGGCCTGAAGGGTAAAATCTGGATAAGACAATGCGCCTACTCCTATCCGAGCAGGAAGTCCGGAAAATCCGCCATTGCCCGCTTGGCGAAACCTCGAGTGTTCGTGAAAAAAGCAAAATTGCGAATATAAAATATACACTCAGAATTTGATGTTTGGACGGACGTCGGTTGACGGCCTTCATGATCTATAAACCTCTGACGCAATCAGAGGAAAAAAAGAAGCAATATTGGTAGGCAAGACAATGGGACACTACCGTTTGCGAAGTAGTCAGAAACTCCTGAGACTGAACAATGCAGCGTCGCACCTCCCAAGTCTTCTGCACTGACTACTTCCCCAGTGGCAGCCTGTACAAAAGAATCATTTGACAGGCCTTCAGAAGATTGTGATTCCTTTAAAAATTCCTAAATTCAAAGGATTCTCCCACGAAAGGATAGTACTTATCGAATATGGAATTGGAAATAGAATGTTTTCAAAACACCTTGAGCGCATAAAGAACACGACATTAATGTTAACAGCGAGTTCAGAACACGCATTGTGCAGTTCTTCAATAGTCTTCAAACAAATCTTGCTAGGACTACCGACTCTGAAGACTCGGCGTCTGAAACTCTACTCGAGATGTCTAGCATTCAGCAGTGGCGCTTTGCACCCGAATAAGGCTGTTCGTAACAACCTTCACCAGGGGTGGACCGGCAAGAAATATCGTGCCATTGCCTTTCACAATGACACTTTCATCCGCCATGGCTGGAACATATGCTCCACCTGCTGTGCAAGATCCAAGAACCAAAGCAATCTGGGGAATTCCTGCCTCCGACATTTGAGCTTGGTTAAAAAATATCCTGCCGAAATGATCCCTATCTGGAAAGACCTCAGCTTGTCTAGGAAGATTCGCTCCACCACTGTCCACAAGGTATATACAGGGAAGGTGGTTTTGAGCTGCAATCTCTTGGGCTCGGAGATGTTTCTTCACTGTGATAGGATAATAGGTTCCACCTTTCACAGTAGGATCATTGGCAACGAGCATACAGAGACGTCCATGAATTGGGCCGATCCCTGTCACGATCCCTCCACTGGGAAGGGGCTCATCGTATAATTCGTGTCCTGCAAGCTGTGCCAATACCAAATTGATCGGTAAGACTTGAATGAAGTGGTTATAGCAAGGTAGAAGGCCCATAGATTCAGCGCAAAAGAAGTATGCATCTCTAAGGTTTGTGAAACCAGTACCTGTGAAAGTTCAAGAAAAGGAGCGCCAGGATCAAGAAGGTTGTCAATGCGCTCCCTCGGCAGAAACTTATTCCTTGATTTATGTCTCTCAACGGCTTTGGTACCTCCTCCGAGCCGAACCTGGAGATCAAAAAAAGGACATCTTTGAAAGAGACACATGAGCTCCATAGCTTCTTCTAGACCAAGGATATGTGGTGTGGTAGGGAAGCCGATTCAAATTAAATGATCTCAAATCCAATTCCTGAAAGACTCGGAGTACCCTAGACCTTTCTCAACATTTCCTTATAAGTCACTCGTTTCTACGCTCGCTACGGATAGTCTGAGGCCATACCTTCTCCACGTGCTGTCGTAGCTCCACAAGCAGCTCCTCCATCGCCTTCAAATTTGTCTTAAAACTTTGACTCTGCGTGTCTACGCTGTCTTTGAGTACATTCATGCCGTAATCTAACGAAACAAAATTCCTGACCGTTCTTAAGGCAGCTCCATGTTTGCGTAACTGCGTTGTTGGCGTTCCACCTATTCTCAGTCGTTCAGTTTGCCTTCCTGTAAAACCATCATCTCTCATAGCGCAACTCGGGTTGAAAGAAGGCCTTCCATCAGTTTTAAGGCCTGCAGTTCGCGTTACTTTTATATGGCTAAACCCTATACTCCCGCTCGTTGCTGCTTGTAAATCGCATTCGGGCTGTAATACACCCCTACAGGACTTCTGAGACGAGGAGTTCGTGAAATTGGTAACACCTCTGACATCAAACAGCGGTTTCCGCCTGCAGAGAGAATCTGTCGCAGACGACCAAGCTGCTGACCTCGCTATTTCTATCTTCCATCGGTCGTATCCCCTCCGGAGGAGGGAAGCTGTACTGATGCTCCGGTTGGCCACGGCCCTTCCCATTAAGGCGGCTTCAAGCTGGGCTTCGAATGTTGTTCAAATTTAGAGTGAGGGAAGACAGGCATTACGAGCTCATCTTAGAGTCATCACGAGCTCTAGGTTACAGCAGTGAATAACGATACTCGGCTTACGCTCTTGAAGAGATTGACACCCGTTCACGTGAATTGCAGGTTCAACTCTATGCACCTCTTCAATGAATGGCTGAGCGTACGTTTTGTCCTGATTCTGCAGACAGAAATCCGATTAATTCCTGAAATTGAGCAATCAACAGGTCCATCAGATGCTAGAGAGTCCATTCCAGGACCACTGAGAGCTCAGACTTTTTCCATCCAACTTTAACCTGACATTGGATCTCTCTGCAGCAAAATCACTCTCCACACACAACTCTCTGCTGAGCGTCAAGAGTTTCGAATTCTCAGATTTTAGGTAGGTGCGACAGTGCTATGTTTGGAGTCTCTCTGAACAGCACCAAGCACAGCCAGAACTCGTAGATCTTGTCTTAAGATTGGAAAGTTGACCCCTACGCGATGACTGATCCAGCTCAGTACTTGATGCAAAATGTGCATTTCTAAAGATTCATTCAAAATCACGATCGCACATGAGCAGACAGGAACAAGACGTCCCTCGCATTACAACAATCGCCACAATAGTAAGGACCGAGCCTTCAAATTGATGAAATTCACGCTTCTGAAGCAAGGGAATGTCAGAATTTTCGGCAGCCATACTCCACTTTGTCAGAGTGTGGGTAGATGTGTTTACAGCTAAACGGAAGAAGTCACTTCCACTACTTCCACTCCTGCAGTGAGAAGAAATTCCGCCTTTAATTTTCCGAGAAAGCTAAACTCAAAAGTAACGGGGATTAAACCTCTTGAATAGGCCACCTTTTTAAAGTCGTCCTCCTTCCTAGATCATCGCATGCTCAGCTGGCATTCTTCCGGACTCCAAGTCAAACTCCGGCAGTCGTCCACAGCCAACCCGAATCCGGGATCGCACAGACACGAGGAGTATGTCTCCCGTCCAGCTCGCTCAATTATTATCGAGGAATTCCAAAAGCTACAACAACTCTGACGCTCGAAGCCTCGGAGCATATGCCGGGGCAAAAGTCTAGAGTACAGACGCAATTTAATAACACGACCAGCGTTCCAGCCTCACTCACCTCGGCAGCACGCAGACAGAACGACAAAGCCACTGGAAAGACACTTCAGAGCGACGAAAGAGGCCGTGCTCGGAGCCACACCACAAATCTCCTTCGATCTCCTCAGCCTTTAAGCAAGATGGACAAAGCCAATGACAGCCATGTCTTACGGATCGGCATAAACTTTTCGAGGGAAAGCGAAGAGAATTTCTCGCCCCTGAGGAGGCGGGCCTTCTTTATGCGCCTCGCCCCGTCGTCCTCGTCCTCCTCGTCCTCTGCTGCGATGGGTTGCTCGTGCGTCGCCTGCGCCAGGTCCGCGCCCCCGCGCCCCCTGCGTCGACGACGACGACCACCACCACCACCACCACGACATCCTCCCAACCACCTCTTTCACCGCGGTCAGTCCAGACTCCAGTGCCCCAGCCGGGCCCAGTCCTGGACACCCTCCCATGAATGGGCTCACCTGCAAACCGTTGGCTGTCTGTCTCGGTGAGCTCCGCAGTTGGCACTACTGCGGTGAGCCGCGCCGCCATTTCGGATCGAGAGATAGCTCGGTTTCGTCGTCGCGCGAGGACGTGGAAATCTGACGGTCTAGCGCGAGGCAATCGCAGGCGTTCACGTGGCCGGGAGGTCGCTCTCGTACTCGGTGGACATGGGACGCTTCTCGTGGGTGGCGGACCTGGCGCGCCTCCCCCGCTGAGCAACCGTGTCCTGTACTGCACGGGAGCGATCGCTATGCCTGTCGATGACCGGGAACTGCGTTAGTGGATCTGTTGGAGGCTTGACGATGGCGGAAAACACTCGCTCGGACGTCAGGACCAGCGTGGATAAGAATGTTGTGGGATGTCGGCACGTGTCAACACACGTCGTCATTATACGCGCTGACGTGGTCGCTACCTCGGCCTAGCTGTCAGGACGTACTCTCGCCCTACGCCCCTTTCTGGTCCTCGTTCCGCAGGGGCGCTCCTCTCGACCGGATGCTCTTGTAACGAAGGCTCGAGGGCGAGCGCGAGGCTTTCGTGCCGCTCTCCCGAGCAGAATCTTTCTTTCTGTACGGGGAGAAGGCATTCCTCGTAGCAGAAGGGACACTCTTACACACCTGACATTACGCAGGCTGAATATGCCCGTGGCCAGAGTCGGTCATTGATCACGGGTCGAGCTTTTCCCAGACAGGATTCACCGGAAGGGTATCTTGGTGCTCCTGGCATTGATCGATCTTCCTGCACTTTATTTCATGCCTCTTGTGGTCTCTTTGTGGTGAACAGAATTCGCAGAAAAAGCAGGCTCTGCGCGAATTTCATGGCCGGTCGTCTTCGTGTCTAACGTTCTCGCGAGTCTTTTGAGTGGACATCCTGAACAGGCAAGTTCGAAACCCTTGAAGTAGATGATGCATGCATGGGTACAAGTGCCGAGCCAATAGCAGAAGAAACAACTTGCAGAGCAAGTACATCTCACTCCAATTGAGAATGTCATTTTCATGGATCGATCGGAGGAAGATAATGAAGATACTCTGCTGACCTAGTTCCGAACTGTCGACCAACAAGGAAAGGAGGCCGATACCCTAGAGTGAAATAGAGATCGAGTTTCTTTTCGTGGAAGGAGCTTCTTTGTTTGATCTGGCCAGTGAACCGCGCGCAACACGATAGACATTCGAAGGAACATCTATAGCGGGGTACAGATCAAAAAAGATGATGGATAGAAATCATCCGATGTCCATGTTTTGTAAGGTTGCATTCGGCAGTCGTGGCCCCATACGTGATCACATATGGATGGGTGCAATTTCCCGGCGGAAAGCACTCCTTTTCGATCTGAGGAGTTTTCACTCCAGACATCATCACCGTACCTCGTGACATAGCACGAATTTGTTTGTTCTACGAGTACTCGTCCATTTGTTGAGCACACAGTCGATGGTGAAAAGGTGTTCAGTGTGAGAATAACAAACACTGCAACTACAGCATGCTACCAATGAATCATATACGAATCCCAGAGTTGCAGTGATAGAGGTCCGAGGGCAATTATAAGTGAGAGACTAGAAGTAGGTTCTGGATAACTGTACATCGTTCAGCAGTGGATCACTAGCAGGCAAAAGTAATCAGATATAATACTAGCAGCGAACTATGGGGCAGGCAGGCCCTTATGATCTTTTCCTTTCGGGAAAGGAAAAAGTGAAATTTAGATTCCACACAAACCCCAAGCTTACCAAGACCGGAAGCATATGAACAAAGGGCAATCAGAAAAAAGAAAAAAGAAAATCCCGGTCGTGGACAATAGCATTAATACCTTGAATATCACACTAGACATAGAGAGACCGATGAAGTCGAGAAGTTTTCTTGCTAGAACTTTTCCATGTAGAGGACGTCATAAATTGAATATGTTGTTCGGTGTTCCTGGTGCAACTAACAGAATATATGTCTTATTCCAAGGTGGACAAACATCCCACGGCCATTCGAGATTTCGAAGCTCTGTCCCGCCCGCCCAGAAGAAAGTAAGAGGCTGCAACATGGTCGTCTTCCCATCGTTTTGGCTATTCACTCGAGCCCTTTCTATGCAACGTGGTCCAAACTAAAGAAGATTCTTCCACCAACAACTATGATATTTATATATTTATTCATAGCGGGGTGCCAAGTAACATAATAACTGAGATCCAATACCTCATCCTGCTCGCTGACCTGACGCCAGCTTGGCTTTCGTCACTTGGCTGCCTCCGCTTTGTACTCTACGTCAGTCTACGATGGGTTCCATAGCTTGCTCACCATTTCGTTTGATTTGGCGATGTTCAGATGAAAGGAAAGGAACGAACCGATGCAATTACGCGACATGAGTAATGTGAGCCCGTTTCCCGTCGTCTCTCTCGCCTTTCCGAACTCCATGTTCTACGGTTTTACGTCTTCCCTTATACCCTTGTAGGGTATAAGGGAAGACGAGGTCATGCTCTCAGAAAGGCGAAGCCCCCGATTCGACCGAAGGGTGACGGCATAAATCCGACTTCATGGAACCTGCTGTTTCGCAATTGGACTGATTAAATTTCTTGTAATCCGTGCAAGGTATTAATTATCATACTCCGCATTGAAGGCTTGGACTTCTGGTTGTTGTCGTCTAGGAAGTCCATAGTTAAGTCTTTTAAACGGGAAAAAGAAAAATTATGTGAATATCCTATCTAGATGAAACCACGAGGTAATATAGGGGCTGCATTTCATCTCTTTGCGTGTGTTATTTCAGATGAGGTGTTTTAACTGCCTACTGAAAATGCATCAATCATTTTTTATTCAATAAATGGTAACATTTTTTTACATTAATTTATGAAATGAAGTAATTTATATACTGCTCAAAACTACTGTGGGGTAAATCCACGTCTTTAGTTTTACAATTTAAACATTAGACCCATACAACTTGATGTGTTTTGAATCTCTATTTCTTCATTGATATTATAATTTCAAAATTCAAATAATTTAGTTTATCATTTAATTATTCTTCAACAAATGGACATTACCTTTCTCTGATAATCCTCTACACAGCAATAGATGATATTTTCGGAAGGTCGAGGTATACGAATATGCGAATAGTCAAGCCTAATTTTACTTGGGATAAACATTAATTGTGATATCCTGCATTCGGAGCCAAAGTGATCAACGACATACCCCGAAAACGAAATAAGGCTCTTCTCGATACGGAAAGAAGAGAGAAAGTACAAAAGATAAAGTAGACGACTGGCGAGAGATTACAATTGCTGAGAAGAGATCACGAGTCCGCATTAGGAGTGTTGCCAAAACGCAAGCAATGTCAACCGAGTCCGACAGAGAAATCAACAACCGAGGCAACAAAAGCTCAGCATTGGCCTATGACGCTCGACATGCATGCCTACAAAAGAGGTGGACGAGAATCGGCTCCTGGGGAGGAGGACGTGAATCAGAACCGAGCAATATTCCACCTTCTTGAACCGGAAGAGTGAGTCACATCACAGCCCCCCGCCCTCGCGTCCAAAGATCGGGGCGGAGAAAGGAGGACTGGAGAAGGCCTGACCTGGATTGGTCGGTTCACGCGTTCGAACAGTGGAGTGTTGGGGTCGAGTGCTCGAATTTGGAGATAACGTAAACGCAGCAAAAGTCGCATTCTGCGTCGACGATGAGAATCCGCCCGCGGCCATGCGCCTCTGGACCACTAGAATGCCTCGGGTCGGTGATAGCTTGTCCGAGGGATCACGAACATTCTCCTCTGCGAAGGGATCGATTGGCGTCACTGCCATTTGGTTGATACGGCACTTCCAAGTGGACGTCGGTGAACTTCCATGGACGATGGCAGTTGGACTGAAGTAACGAATGTGAAGAAAGGCGTGTCCCTTGCATCATCTGCCCCCAGAACATATTTCCTTGACTTTCCGTGTCTGGACAAAAATTCTCACTCGTCTATTGCACTTTCTTCTCTGGCTGGTGGGCCCTCTTTCAATTTCGGTCAGATCCAAACCTCTCCTCCGACGCCTTGCTCAGGGTTTGTAGCAGCCCTACGGGCCTTGCCCCGATCTGGAGCAATCCGCGTATCATGCGTCGATATGGAGGCTACTACAACTCCTGCATTTTTTAATAAACAATTAAGTTTGTCAAAAGAGAACGATCTTTTCATATATTATCCAGATAACCATGTATTGTTCGATTGAGACCTACTCGTCTAATTTGGTGAATGATAAAGACTGATCTACGGTTTAGGGTCAAACTCTACATCCCAAGCTTCAATTATTAACGAAAAATATTTTAAATTAAAGTTTGTAGTAGATGTGGAATATTTTGTACATTTTATTCAAAATTTAAAACAATTTCATGTTAGCATATATTTTTTTAAACTATGAAATTCACGTAAATTAATTATACTATAGTGGTGTTGCATAACTATCAAAAACTAATAATGACAAGAATCTTTTTTTTATTCTCAATGATATGAAAATAATGGAAATTCAAACCCGTATTATCTTATGTACTTATCCTTTCATTACTAGGAATAATCAAGACATTTGATTGTACAACATAAAGATTCAAAAGAATGGAAATCTCTAAACAAGCAAGTTATTGGAATAAATATGTGCAAATAATAAGTCTTGATAATTCATACACCTAAAACACACATGCACAACACAAAAACAACCTACAAATGAGATATGTGGATCAATTATATGTAGGCTACTTGCACAAAAATATAAATTTATCTTAAAAAATAAGATGTATATGATACTAATAAAATAAATCATAAAAATTTCATATTTTTATATTGAAAAATAATAAAGTAATAATTTTCATAAACAATAAATAATAAGTATTCTCACATGTGATGTAAAATATGTTGATGTTAACTCATGTTAAGTAGTAATCTCCATTCCTAGCTAAAGATAGCTAGTATGGATTGCTAGGTCGGGAATATTTTATTCGATATATTATCTCTTTTGTGTTTTGACTTTGTACATAATCTTGCATCTAGATAAACCATGTTATCTTTGTCTCTTGTCTTCGTCTATCTGATAATTGTCTGTCTTGCTATGGCTATCTTGCGTGTCTCGGACTAACAAATGATATCAAAGCGTTCGTCTTTGTGAAAATGTTTGCCATGTTTGACAGTGTGGATGGTAGGGTTGTATTGTGTTTGTCGAGTCAAAAGCAAACTTTGTTGACATTTTTACTAAGACGAGCCGACAAAAATTTGTTGATGACGGTATTCTAATGATTGAGAATTCTTTGAGTTGAAAATTTCAAATTTTTGTGACAGTTTCTTCAAGACAGACTGTGACGATTGTTCAAAAAGAAGGTGCAACCTATCATTAAAAGTTTGTTTTCAAGAGAGAGTGTCAGACGTCCACACGAACTTTTTTGTCCAAAGAATAGAAGCTTGAATCATATTACTTTATCTTTCCAAATATCTCATGATTCAACTTCAAGGCGGAAGACAAAACTTGAAGGCATGATCGAATGTGAACAACGCATGCAAATTTAGACAATAATTCTTACATTGAAGTCTTGATCTAACGGAGTTCACAACACAAATTTGAAAAAATATTGATCAAAATTTTCTAGACATTTGACAAGATTTCGTCAGAGAATTTTGTTAACATCCAACATCCAAAAGACCAGTCGCAAACTGAACGGTTAAGAAACGAGCATGCAAACATGCATTTAGGATAACATGCGAGATCTACAAAATTTGACCTCGAACGCAGAATAGAACGCGGATCAAAATCGAACAACAAATAAAAATTCACGTTTAGAAAATTTTCTAGACAGATGCAATTGATTAAATCAACCGAATCTCACAAGTATATGTTTAAAATCCAAGAGAGACACAATGACACAAAAATAACATGGTTCATACTCAAGAAGAGAGCTACATCCACCTCAAACACACAACACTTTACTTCTAGGTCATTCTCTAGAGAGATTCAATATACAAGGAGAACCCCGAGGTATTTATCCCAAGTCCAAGCAACCGTCCTAGCTATAAATAGCTAGGATCTAAGATTACCCTGTAACTAGAATTAACCTCAACAATCTACCCCTTAACTCACGTTAAGACACAGTAAACTCTATAATATCCTACAACACACCAGACCAGGAAAGAAACATACAGAAAAATGAACCAAACCTAGGGGAATCAATCAACCAATCAATCAATCGACCAGCAATAGCAATCGTGCCAAAATTCAAGAAAGTGAAAACAAACCACCATGTAGTTCTTGTCATTCTTTGTTGGACTCAATCTCTTACAATTCTTCGAGAGAAGATAAAAACGACATAGAATTCTAACTACATGCATATACATCTCCAAACAAAAATCTACCACAATTGAAAACAAAATGAGAAAAACGTTACTATTCTCTCAAAAGTTTGGTGATAGATTTTCATCAAAAAACCGTTAAGAAAACTTTTGGATATTTTTATCATAACCACATCAGGTTAGTTGTTTTTTGAACGCAAAAAGTCACTCTCACAAAAAGAACTGTCATAAAAATCAGGTTTTAGTTTTTCATTTAAGCATTTATTTAAGTATGCTTTTGATCTTACGTTGGCGTGGAACTCTTCAAATTTTCAAGTATTCTTTTGAAAATTGTCAAATGATTCTTTTGCTTTTGTTTGAACGATAGAGTAGAGCAAATGATACTTATTATCAACTGTTTGATTATACAAAGATTCAAACCCATGAAATTCAACTCTATCATGTGATTCAACAATTTGCTCTGGTTTATTAACATAGTTGTCTTCATCAAGCCATGCTTCATTAATCTTCATCAATCTCAACAACTCTTTGACGTATTCCAACAATATTGCAGCATATTTTCCATTGCTTTTGTCATCAATGTGAACAAATTTTTCCAATTCCGATTGGTTGATAGATAGATTTTAGCTTTTGATGATTTGAACTATCTCAATGATATTGACGTTTATTTTACTCTCAGCACCTAATACTGGTTCTAAGTTCATGAGCTCTGGATTATTGAATGCATTTTTTATAAAGCATGACGAGACGGAATTCCATGCTTCTTTAACATTGATTAAGACATTAAGCAAATGCCCATATTTTTATAGTTAATTCCTGCATCTTTTCGTAGTTGTTTTTTAATTCTTCTTTTTGCTCTTTAAACTCTTAGTCAAACTTGTTAAAGTCAAAGATATCCTTAAAATATAAATATTTGTATCGTTTCTTGATAGGGACAATGAATTTCATATCACAAGATTATTTCAAGTTGGTACAGTTTGAAGTAAAGAATACAACGCGTATGTTGTGGAGTTCAAAAGCATCAAAATGTTCCAATACATTATCCATCTATAAGTAACGACAAGTCATTTTTTTCTTTTAAATTCTGAATTAAAGACTTTCTTAGAATCATTTCTAATTGAATTCATGACTTGATTTGATTGAAATAAAGAATTTGTCAATGTCAATCTTTAATACATGTTGGATCTTGCTGCTTTTCAATCATTAGGCAAGTAATATTATGTGTTCCAGATGCATTGGTGCAAACTATCAAGGAAACATTATCTTCTTCTTTTTTATGTCTGTTGCTTGAAAGTTCCTTGTTCGGCATTAGAATGAAACATATGAAAAGCAAACCAAAAAAATATATATAGTGTTATAGAAGCTTTCAAGATCTTATTAAAAAATGATAAAGTATATTTTTTCTAACGCTAATAAATATAAAATTTGGGTAATTTCTGTCAACCTCAGCACCTAGTTCATGAATAAGCATTTTTTTTAGACCTCGGAGTGTCTTGAAACGACCAAGTCATTGCCATGAAATCTTAAAGTATGAATAAAAAATGTATTATGTAAAAGCAACATTGCTTTTGCAGTGGCAAGATATGGCGCTACAAGGATCTTGGCACGGCGCATGCTATCATTCAAGATGTACAACATATCTTCAAGCTTGGTTAATAGTCCGACCGAAGCTCTAAAGGTCTGCTTAGCTTCTTCGGAGAGTAGAGAGGATCGTTCAAGAATTGAATGCCGTTTCTCTTAAACTTTCCGAATAGTGTTTTTGTTAATTTCGTAGTCATACCTTCTACCGACTTTGCTTGAAGGGTTTGTTTTGTCCAATTTTGAGATGATCTCCTGAAGAAGTCTCAGTCAAGAGCTTACCGGTCAGAATTTTTGACATTGTATTCAAACGTAGGCGATTTGGACAAAACTCAAACGATTTGGAAATAGAAATGTTAAGTATACACCTATTCTACCCATTAATCATGCACAAAAATTGCAAGGAATTTAATATATTGCAACCGTTAGATTTCTTCCAACCGGAAAGTAAATTATACTACTCCATCTTCCAATTGTTTCGATTATTTCTGCAAGTGAGAGTAACCATGAGGAGAGAATAAGTAGTGATTACAATAGTTGTGCCACATAATTTACGTACTTACGGTACCAATAAGTACCTTCAATAGTACTAAATAGAAAATATGTTTCTGTAGTAACTGAAACATATTTCCTCCTTTTAATATTCCAAAAGTTCAAGAAGATACTAATTCAATTTATTGATGAAAGTGACCAAAAGCCTAACAGAAATGGCAAGTTTCCCAAATGAAATAAGAAGTGACTCTTCAACATTCAATTATCTTTCTTCCCTTACTACTTCCCTTACTTCATTTTATATCCCTACATAGTTGCGGACAATTTATCCACTTTTATTTCTTTCAATCCTTCATCTCATGATTAAAATCTGAACACCTTCAACTCCTACTTTGTTCATAATTATTGTATATACCAAAAAAAATTAAATAAATTTTTTAATTCAAACGATTACTATTAATGATAAATTTTTTTAAACTTAATATTTTAATGCATGGATTTAATTATGATTAATATATTTATTTTATATTATATGATTTATAATCATGAGTAAATTGGACCATATCTTAATAATTCTCACAGAAAGCACTAAATTGTACAGATTGCAAGGTTTTTCACCGTGGAATACTCTTGTATCCGACGACACGTCCAGATGCGCGACTGCGAAGTTTTAGTTACTCAAGGAGCGGAGGGGCTGAGAAGCGATGGTGAATAAAGTAATATAATCTTACATTCACAATGCGCATGGAGATACCGCGAGGACTGGGAAATGTGGACCCCGCCCACACCCCCTTAATGCGTCATGGAATCAAGAGAATTCACGTGGCTAGGTAATGAGTCCACAACTGATACCAACAGACCTTTCCATTATTGATAATACAAAACAAAACCGCATTTCAGCGAAATTCATTCACTAATATACAACATTGAATGTGGTAAACCTTCAAGCTCCTTCCCAGCAATTTGTACCGAAGCTATTTACTTCCAAACTTATCCTTCCACGAGCATTAACCATAACTTTACTATGTCGGCACCATCTCACTTACAAAGCACAACTTCACCCGATTTCAAAAGCAAATGAGGAACTTCACACTTCTGACTTTAATTGATATATTGGTTTGAACATAGTTTAGAGATGTAGTGCAACATACACTAATGTCTCTAATTAATGTATGTATTGTTAGATAAACTAGATATTTAGTGCGACTGGGTACTTGCACTGACGTCTCTTATTGATAAATTCGCATGTACTAGAATGTAGACAAACTCCTAGAGTTTCAGATGTATAAGTAGTGAAAGATGCGCTATAGCCTAGTTAGAATACATTCTCTAGATAGCGTGATGAAAGATTCAGATGAATATACTACTAGTTCGGAGGAATGTGGAGAAATTTGCTTGATGTGACCCCATCAGAACGCTTGATCGGATCTAATACGTCCCATTTTTTCTTGAAACTGATTTGTTTTCAATTCAATGAAAAAAAATTATTTCTTCCAGAATTTAAGTTAATAAGATTTTCCATGTCTCCCAATCTACATCGTGGAAGTGCCCAATTTCTTGAGTCCCATAATGATTTTACAGTTATAATGTATAGGCATTATCTACTTACTACTTATTTTTTTTTCTAAATCTCTTGGTCAAAATCATGTAAGTTGAGTATTTTGGTCCGTGAAGAGCATTTCACTTTTCAACAAAGAGACTCAGTGTTTTTCCTAGCCCGGTTTGAAAGCAATTACAAGAACTCGCTGTAGAACATCAGTGACGGTGGACTGAATTGCCGTTGGAAGTGTCCCATCGGGTAAAATGAAACTTATTGGGTCCATCAAGCAATCAACGCTCCGATGGAGTCACATCAATCAAATTTCTCGGGGAATGTGTCAAGGATAATACAATTTCTAGCCGATGATTTACATATCCAAAGTTAATTTTTATAACATTCTACACGAAGCAGTAAGAGGGTTTCTACCGTACAACTGAGTCTTGCAATTATAATGACTCAAACCATAGAACCAACAGATATTTTGGAATTCAGCTTCTTGTAAGGGAATAGTCCCTTCTCACTTCATGTGCAGCAGCAATCCCATCTTCACTTCAGTTCATCGCTAGGAGATGCTCATTCACCGTCTCCAGCAGCAGAGAGTCTAATGTATGGAGGGGTTGGCATTTTGCTGCTCGAGAACAAGCTCGTGAGTTGGGATGCATGTTCTGTACCGGACCAAGCCTCTGGGCCTGCATGCATTCCCCACCAAGCACAACAGTGCTGGATTCTGTACATGATGAACTCTTGAGGTGCTGACAGCCCAGCCCACCAGAAGCACAGGGGGCAGAGCAGCGTACAAAGGTTTCTACCTGTCAGCTTCATTTCCCAAAGTCCTGCCTGAACGGAGGAAAGTTCTTGAGAAGAGATCGAGAAATGGTGGCAAGCAAGTTGGGACAGGGCCTCTGCTGAGCTAGAGAGGAGGACTGATCTATAAGCTGGACTTTCTGCTGATGGATGGGCCGTGCTTCTGCTCGCATCTTCGAAAGCAGTCATTGATGTTTTCACCTGCAATGATTCAATTTCTGCACTTTTACCAAATATTCATTCATTCACGCCTTGATTCTAAAGGCTCTGGAATTGCAGTTTTGTGTCAAGTGACCGAACTAGAAAGCTTTTTCCACAACAACTAAAACGCATCTCTCATGTGAACCGAAAAGTGTCACGATCTTTTCTGTATTATGACTTCTCAAAACCGCACTCTTTGTTGCATCATCATACTCGCAATGCACGAAGCTGCTTTCTTACATCAGCTCTCAAGTACTTTTCATACTTTCTCTCACTTTTTTTCCTACTTCTCTCATTACAGAAAATCACCCTACTTGTTACCTGATCTAGTGGGAACTTGAAGTAGCTAGCAAGCAAGCTCCAAGTGTGAGGTGCCTCTGTTGGAATATACTATAATTGCAGGAATGCCATCTGCAGCATAGGAAACATTCCTCGAGGTTGAATTCACAAGAGTTGGGTTCTGGGAACTGGCTGCTAAAATGCCAAAGCTTCAAGTACTGCGTCCAGCAGCAGCCCGCATCCATCAGGTTTGCACTGGAATCTTGTGAAATGCTGCCCAGCTAAACAAGGAGTGACGGTCATCTCGTTCACACTTGGTCAGACACTGCTCTGAGTCGAACTAGCCTGAAGTACGATGACTGAAACCCCTCAAACCAGCGGCCTGCTATACTACTGCTGTCTTTTAGATCTAGACAGGCATAGCGAAAATGCCAGTCGATGCAGATATCTTCTGCTTGGCTTACCTCGCTGCCGGGTGACATCAATCCTCAATTACTGCCGAGCCTCAAGAACCATCACATGCAACCATTGCCTCGGAGCCTTGAGTCCAGCCACATCTGATGAAATCATGAAAGCGACGATGCAATAAAAGTGAATCGTCGAGATGAAAATAAGGTTGGCAAGGCTTGGATCCTTGACGGATATCATTCTACTGTATTCTCCGCATATTCCCTCCAAGACCAAAAAGACCAAGGAAACGAAGTTGGGAGGTGAGTGAGATAATCCAGCTTAACAGGGAATGAGGTCCTTGACAGTGGGATAGACCACCATCGCTGGGTGGCCCATAATGGAGGTCCCCTTGCTCTTCTTGAAGCACCAGATGATGGCGCCCACAGGCCACTCTATGGCAGCTGCTATGCAGAAGCATGCAAATGCAACGGACGGTCCAATGACCTTGCATCTGCACGGGTTATCGTCGTTCCCACATTCCATGCAGTACGGGATGTACACGGCCATAGTTCAGATCCTCCTTTGAACACTTCCTTGTCTGTGTGTTTGCTGCTCGGTTTGAACCTCCGGAAGCTCAAAAGCCGGAGGAGGAAGTAAGGCACAAGACGATGAGTTGCAATGGCGCTGGAGCTTGTGGTGGTGCTCAGTACCCCACTTCCATTCCTACTTCTATGATTGTGAGGCATCCCCCTGACCTGGCGGCCCCAGGCCTGGTCCTGCAGAATCCAGGTGTACCCCAATGTTCTCCTTGGGTTTGTACAGAGCTACAATGGTCGATCATGAAGTAGAAACCGGCAATGTGTGCTCTGAGCCTATCAGAGAGCAACACCTCTTGGAGCTGATGCTGCTGTGACCACTGCACTGACACTGAATACTGCCTATTAAGGCGCACGGCACTCCATGATCACCACCAAAACCTGGAGTGTGAGTTACAACGATACGTACGTCAAGGCTTTTGCCAACACGAAAGAGTATTCTCTGCAGCTCCTTTTCGATCTACGTACTGTACAGCATATTTGGATCGTCAAACACGTGAAAGGGGCGCCGAGAAAATAGCAAACGTAGACTCACATAAACATCCGCAGTATAAACACTGTCGAACTTCTGATTCCTCATGAACCGGTATTTCTGTGTGTGTACGAAAATGGGCGCTTCATCCCACGTTTCAGAAACCTCTTTTTCTTGAGGCAAAGTTCTCCTCGTATAACTTCAGAGGTTGGTTAGTTGAAAGGCATGTTTCCTGCACAGTTTCTTCATACTGTGTGTTCTTCACACATTTACCCTTTATCTTGGTGCTAGGGGCATACGTTCTTATGCTACCATCCGGCTTCGGGTTACTCTAATGCTTATGAATATCAGTTATTGAAACCGAAGAACTTGATAACATTAACTACCAGTCCAGTCCACTCACTTATTCGACCACGTTTCCCATGAAGGCTTATCCCACCTCGTCGGGGACAGGTGGATAAGCGGATCAGAGCCTCCTGGACTACCTATAGTCCACCTAAAATCAACACTCAATATATTCAGGGAGGCAGAAGTTTTATTTATACTCTGTCCTTGTGAAGAGTACTAAGTTCTGCGGAAACACTTGCAAAGCACCGCCCAAGCAACCAGAAGTTCTGCTTATCTATTGTGACTTCGATTACAGTGTTTTAATACACGGGAAAGTGTTGTGATGGGCAACAATGCAATGGAGTATAGAAGAGATCACAGCGGTGTTTTTACTGTAAAAGATATACATGTTCGCAAGTCCTAAGGTTTATCATTAATGAAATAGTCGAGAGTTTAGTAAATCATTTAACCAACTACTTTTTAATCATTTGCTTGTAAAACTTGGAGAAAAAGTGAGTATGACTCTGACACGATGAGTAGTCAAGCATTACGAAGGTTAATAGTGCTGGGCTTTATATCCCGTTCGGGCAAAAGCCTTCTTCACTGACACTCGAGACAACCTTAAGAAGAGCGAGTTGGGGTCCGAGTTGGATTGAGATCCTTTATGATCTCAATCCAAGCTACAGAGTGAAGCAAAACGAAAGCTACTTTCTAAGAATGGTGCTTCATAGAAGTTTATCTGACTATCAATAGCCCACCAGTGCCACGCCGATTCTGACCCCCACAAGACCCGCACCTGCTGATACCGCCCGCCTCCAAGTTTTAATTCAGCACTTAGGTTTTGGAAATGTTTACACACGATGTACTGAAGCCTTGTGTATGATCACCTCCTATATGAAATAAACAAATGAATAAGCAAAAGCAGTGGACTTTACATCGAATCCATCAATCTCCTCGGACGTTATTCCTTTAAATATTGTTCGGAAGCGGTGGATCCATGGAAGATAAATCAAGTTCTAGAGTAAGTTCAAATGTGCAGAAATAAAGAATATACGAACTTACTTCCCACCAATTCCCAGAAAAACAACGAGTAAAAGGTACCCTGATCCCGAATCGAACCCACGTCGTGTTCGAGTAGTCGTGGAGGTGGATAAAAATCGATAAAATGTGTTGATTGTGGTCTCCAATGTGCAGGCCTTACATTGACTAAATTGACCTCCCGCTATGTTTAGAGGGCTGTAAACATGGTGCTAGTTGGTGGGACGGAAGAAAGAAACCAGTCTTCGCAGAAGGTATCTGCAGGATTGTCTTGAGGAAAAACGTCACAAACGTAAGTTCATAGTCGCCTCCGCAAAAGATCGGGCAGCCAAGGGAGAATATAATAAATTGAAGTGAATGTGCAACACCCACACTTCACACTTTCGACTCCAACTGCACACATGAAGACACTGGCTGCGCGACTTCTTGAGTGCCTTCCGCTGCAGATGTAATATCTATGTGTTTACAAGGGCTTCGTCAGAGACATCAAGCTGATGTTCACCACGTTACTTCACAACACGGTAATTAGACGTACTGAGACGGCTTCCATCTTCCAATGAAATAAACTGAACTAGCGTAATCAACATTTAAAACCACCTCGGATACGGGCAGTCTACTATCACTCCTAATGAGTGATAGAACCCAGTCTGCTATTGTTAATATACAGCCTGCAAGGAAAGCAATATAGACTTGACCTCAATGAAGTGGACTGTGAATCAGGTTCAAAGGGGCATTCGTACAATCCCTTCCAGACCTCTTCCAGCATCATGACCAGAAATGGCGTGGATGAAGGAGCCCTTCCCTGGGAAACCGAAATATTATCGGAAAAAACTTATTATGAATCTTGTTGAGGCTTGGAGTCTTCATCCGTCATAAGGAGTTGTTTCAACTTCCCCAAATGAGATGAACTGCATGGCACAACCCACCGAATTACATAAAATTACGATAGAGATTAAAGTTAATGCTTTAAGGCAAAAACGGAAGATTTTTGGAACAGATTATTTGACTTGCAAATTCAACCTTTATCACAATTCACAAACGCATCGTACGGATCAATGCTCGGAGGTGTTAAGACAATGACACGGATACCTGTTAAGCGCGCTGTCCATGTGTGAGTCAAGCGCTAGTACCACAGATGGCATCTGATAGAGCAACTGCAAAGACATTGATTCAAGCGGAAAGACATAGTCAGCTACAATTACCAAAACATATAGAAAGACACGTCTGACAGTCATCAGGGATCGTAGGTACTATCTGAAACTACGATGGCAAGAACCATAGTTGTCGAGTAAGTACTTGGCAGCGAGTAAAAACCTCCTATTAGTCAAGAACGAGATGTATGTTTCGGTAAATAGAGGAACATGGTAAGTTGTGTGCAAACATAACAATAAATCGCATCCCTTTGATTCCTCATCCTGAAGCATATCTCAAGCAAGAATCAAGAACTCCTTCCTCAAGTCCAGGACCATATGAATGAATGGCCCTGGACTTTGTTCAGCCTATCCCATAATGATCATACCGAAAAAATGGATGTGAGTGGCACACACTCATGATGCAAGGATCATTGTAAAGTCAACAGACCATATCTGCGGTCTAATGGCATCTACGATGACAACATTACTACTATTGATAATTTTTTAACCACAAACAGGATCATCACATGGAGTTATGATTCTCCTGTTTGTGGTGTGTTTGCAAAGGTGACCGCAGGATAGAAGATAACTCAAAAAGTCAATGTAAACATTAGGATATATTTTACTGCGTGGTTATGCAAAATGGGGATTTACCTTCCCGGTATTCTTGATGTTTGGCACCTTACTTGACAGCTCCTTTGGCAATTGAGCAACAACCTGGAAAAAAAATTAGACAGATTAGACGCTAATTATCTCGCTAATTAGACGCACCTTCATACTAAAGTTCAACCAGACTACCAGTTTTTGGCGATGACTGTGGCCAACAAGTCGATGTCAAACAGCTACAAGCCGCCGTTACTTTTTCATGAGGATATTGTTTCAAGGAAATTGCTCCAAGGGAAGAAAAAGCTACCGGGCCCTTTTAAGAAGGTGCTGGCTGGATTGCAACAACATACCGAACAGCAACTTCGACAGATGTAAGAAAGTGCTCACGAAACAATCTGGCATATATTCACATGACGGATATGAAAGCCAAATCATAAGGTGGGTGACGAACGAGGGTGATAAGGCGGGAAATTTCGCTCCTACACGACGCAGAAGCAAAATGTCCCCAAGGCGCTACACTGTCCCCCTGCAGTGAAGTATGAATAGAATCGTGCCATGGAGAAAGCGGAACCTACTTCAGAGTGTGACGAATCCCGCAGTTGACGCATAAGCTGGGCGGTGGAATTGACAACTTGCGCTGCCCGCTCGGCAGTCAGAGCTTTGGCAGTGCTGTTCGTGGAAGCTGGTGTGGAAGTCGTGCTCGTCATCTCCAGAGGCTTTCCGCCCACTTCATCTACACCTCCGAACACTCTCACAATCTCTCCGCGATCCGGCCCTCTCCGACTGTCAAATGCCGAAATTGTATCTTCTTCCGCTCTCTGCTCTCGATGCGCGTTGCGATTTCAGGACACTTCAAAGCTCCATCGACATAGTCTCGATGCGTTTCGCAATCAGGCCACCCAGAGCTTGTAGATCCCGGTTGTCAAGAGTGGTCTCTTGAGCGCAAACCGTCTGTCCCGGTAAGTTACAAATCTCGTCTAATCAACCATCGGTTGCACATCCTCGCTCTCTTCCATTTACCATTTACCATTCCCAAATTTTGAGGGAATCTTTCAATTTTACCCAATTCTAATATAGACGGAGATTCTGTACGACGGTGCAGGTTCCGTTAGTTCTTTCTTGCAAGGCTTGGCTCGAGGTTTTTCCTAGTATTTCTATACACCTAGCCCCTTCTTATGTAATAACTCGAATAATGACATGGAAATTTTGAAGAAACGGTACCAACCGGACGATTTCACTCTACGAATATCGTACAAAAGTTTAATTTTAACTCTGAGTATATAGATTTTATCGCAACTAGACCAATCCCATCATTCTTTTTTTACTGTATCATCTAGCAATTCTAAACATGGTGTTGTGTCTAAAATGGCATAAGCGACTTCAGATATAATTCTTTTGCTATATCCTCATAAAAAGGTTGTGTGGATGCATTCAAATAAAATACTAAGCTCAAAAAAATATTGAATTACCTCATTCGTGTAAACACTTTACATCTAGAATGATATACGTATTAATTTTTTCTTATATACATACGTCATCTAGCTAGTTCTAACCTTGTAGACTTCATATATAGCCCTACTTGATTCACATTTTCTGCATTGCATAATAAATAATCAACAATAAAATGGTAATCAAAAAAATATGGAAGATAAAAAAAGAAAACTTGGTGATAAATCTCATAACATACAAAGATCACATCCATACTAAATAAATGCAAAATGACAAATTCATTTCATATATGATGTACATACCACATGAACGAAAGTTCAGCACATGAAAAGTATTGACTATAACTTTTAACTTTGAAGTAATTCAAATACCATCATTGCAAATTTCATTCAAAATTTATACTATCTATTCAAAATTGTTTTTGTTTCTACAAAAAGTCAATTTTGCAGTATATTGAAGAGAATGATATCTAATGAAAAAAATTTAATCTCATTAGTTGTGGAGTACAAATTGTGATGAAATGACAAATGATTGACTTTTCTTTAACATAAGATGTAAACTTTTTCTCGAAGTGTAATATTTCAATTAAAATCCCACACCATTATATTTATGGCATTTTATCATCTTGTGATCTGATTTAAAACTTGAAATCTTCAACTTTTGAAATTTGTATAGATTGATATTGGTTGAGCATAAAAATAGTTTACTTCTAATGTTGAACAACTATTATACATAGTTCATTTCACAAGGATTCAAGTTTTGAAGAATTGATCCTCATTTTACTATATACATATTTAATCAGCTCTTTGAAATTATGAATTAAAACACACAAAAAAAATTTGATTCTTCTTTATAACATGATGACTAGGATCTTGTATAAACCTGGTAATAAGCTCATATTGGCGACGAGTTTTTAATAACTTGTACTCATGTAAACATCCTTAAATGACATACATGAGTCATTTCAAATCAAAAGATAAAGAAATTGACTTTATCTCATACTACATCAATACTAGTTTGTAAAAATTCATATATTTGTATTTTTCATAATAATCTTATCACTTACTTTCACCACAAACCCTATTAGACTAGAACTTCATTTTCATTTTCAAAATATTGAATGTAACAATTTAAGAAAAGAACCTTCAATTAAAAAAATCATATCAATGTAGATCTTTAATGTGATTTCATTAAACATTCAAGTTAAAACATGAAAAAATTGTTATTTTTTGAATAATACTTACATCAAGAACCATTTAAACTTGGTGTTTAAAAACAATGACAACAAGAGTAGCAAGCAGATGATAATTGGAACTTCAAGTCTTGGACAATAATGACATCTGCATGTAGACTGTGAGGACATCAAGAGCATCATCATCATGCACTCAAAACTGTTCAAATGATTTATGAAGCTCTTTTTGAAGATATCATTGTCTAATCTTACATCCTAATTAAATGGAGGTATTAACTTGATGGAACACCTTCAAAACCTAAATTGCTTGATGGCATCCATCAAGTTTAGTTTTAACAGATGGTTTACCATCGACGTCACAACTTTTGAAAAGTCTTACTATACACTAAAGTTCGCATCATATACGAGCTTTAGTGAACCTCTGTGATCGCATATCTCAGAACGATGAATTGTGACATACATTGTCATAGAGGTTTTGGGTTTTCAATGTCAAAAAGTAGACTCGGTAGGCAACAGTGGATGAGTGGAATCTGTCAAGTAAATTCACAAGAAATGAAGCTCAGGACTTGTGAATTCAAGTGTCAGGTAATTATACAAATTTTGATGCAATGGAGAAGTCTCGGACGAAGAAGTGTCGGCAAGTAAATATCTCTAATCAAATATATATTTCAAGTTTTGATCATAAAACATATCAAGTACGTTGTGTGAAAAATGTGAATAAGACAGCTATCAAATAACTATACAAGTTTAAGAATTTATAAGTATTTAAATTTGGTTATAATCAAGAAAATTTAATTTCACAAATAATACAAAGTTATCATTCTTCATAAAAATTGAATTTTTTAATATTAATACACAATTTAAAATATATATATATATTATAAATGTGAAAAAAAATCATACATCATCAACATGTTTTGATAAATTTCAAAAGGTATATTTATGACTTCATGTTAATTGTCAAATAAGTTTTCTTCTTCCAACCAAATTTTTAATTGAATGAACTTATAAATGATCAAAAATCTTGATCTTTTAAAAAAGATCACATCTTCATTGTGCATTCATGTCATATTTCCAACATAACATCATCTTTTATTTTTTGGTATATATTTTCAACTTGAAACTATTGCTAAATCTAAATTTCTTACAATATAATTCATTCAATGCATATGGTTGTTAAGAATCAAATTTGATGTTGAGTCAATGAAAAAATGGAAAAAAAGTACATTATCATATATTATATCAATAAAATACTCATATTTATATTTTAAATGATTGTATTTTCTATTATTTATTATTGTCAAGCAAATCTATTTTAGATTTGAACCTTTTTATAGATCAAGACCTTTTATCATGTTTTTTCATTGCACAAATATCATCATCCACATGTAAAATTCAATGTCATACAATATGAAAAGACTATATTGATTAATAAATTTTATTTTTCAAATTTAAAAAAATTTATAACATCATTTTTAATCATAATTTGATTATCATTATAGTGCAATACATTTTTAACCCTGATTCTATCTCTAAATTTTTTAAAAACTATCAATTTTTGTCATTTTGTAAACATGATCATACACAAGTCAAACATTGTATTGCACAAATGAAACAATAAAGTTGATGGATATTATCATTTTTTTGTAAATCATGGTTTTTTTCTCAAGGTGAAAAAAATGCACATTATAAATAGAAAAGAAAATTTAATTTAAGAAAATAATTCATTTTATTCACATAAATTATATTCTAAATGTGATTTTGAATCTTTGAATATTAATCTTCTTATTTTTTTAGCTTATCAGTTTCAAAAACACATACAACCTTGTTGACAACTCTTTTCAACTCTTTGTCTATGTTTGTTTTATTTTTATTTCAACTCTTTGTCTGTGTTTGTTTTATTCTTATTTCACTTTTCTTCCGTGAAAGTTTTTCTTAATAGCTTACTTTACTATTATCACACCAGTTATAAAAAATTGACATAAAGAGATGCAGTCACACCAAAAATCAATATACTCTGCATATGTATGTTTCATCTTTGCTTATATTATGTTAATTAAAACACAAAAAGGTTTTAGTAAAAAAACCTAAATTTGTGTTAATCAGACTTACGACTAGCTCTTATATAAAACAACAAACTAAACTTAGTCCAATAAATTAAAACTACATCAACATAAGTTAAAAAACTTGAGTTCTGACTTCTAGCATAGATGAATTTTTAAGCTTAATAATTCATCGAAGAATCTAATACCAAGCAATCAAAAATCATGCAGACTTATTCAAAACTCTATTCTTGATTGAAAATTTTGAATTTCTTAATAATTTTTTATGCTTATTACACAGATGTAAATGAAATAATATTTTATTCACATAAATTGAAATAAACTGTATGTATTATAAAATTTAAATCAACAAAATTTGATTGAAGTTGAACCTTAATAATCCAACAATGAAGTTTCTATTCTAGATTATTATTTTTAATTATAATGGTATATTAAGTTCCAACAATTGGAATTCTTCTTTGACTAGTAGCATTTATCCATCTGATTATGACTTTAATGACTTTCAGGTCATATCAAAGCATCAATCTTAACCCTACATAGTATCAATATATGCAATGTCATCAATATCAAATATAGGGTTTCATGTTACTGAGAATTTAAAACTACCTGTGATTCCAAAATAGCAACGTTAAGTTCATGACAAAGTAAAAATCTGTATTATTAGTAAAGAATGATATTGAGCATAAAAAACTTATTCTCATATAATGTAATTATTTTAGTCTACAATTTAGCATTGTGCATTGACAAAGTCTAACTTTAAAGTCGATTTTAGACATATGAGCCAGCCATTCTGATTTCTTTCCCTTCATAGGTTAATGTGGGTAACTCCAATCACCTTTGTAGTAACTTTGTTGGAATTTTTCACGGACTCAGATATTTCACTTAGAAGCAAAAGAATAGTACAGCCGGAGAGGAAGAAAGCCCATGCATCAAAATTTATTTCAGTTACAAACTTCAGCATGCTAAATCTAAACCCTTAAGCTTTTGGGATACGTAGCAATTACAGATTGTTCGATGGGCGAGTGACAGAGAGGGCAATGCTTAAAGCTTCTCAACTTCATAGAAAGAATCCAGTGTTTGCATGTGATGCATTGAGTATGCTCTTCGCTCAATATTAAATTTCCGCTGGCCATGCATATCTTGAAATGTGTTTGGCAGTTTACATTTGGACATTTGGTGCTGAGTTCCTGTTTTCAGTTGTCCAACGAAAGCCAGATCACAAATCAATATTACTGGGTCTTATTAATGTATAAGTCTTATTGGAAACCTGTACTTCAAGAACCAGTCAAATAGCATCTAGGTAGTGATTTTTCCATACTGGAACTGTGAAAACCTACACTAAAGTCACCCACTCAGTGACCTGAAATGAGGCTTGGGAAAAAAGGGAAAAAAATACTTGCTTTACATCTGTATTACGAGTTGACAAATTTGCAAATTCAACTCTCCTTTTTAACGTTTCGAGAAAATAAGCGCATATGAAGCTTCCGGAAGATTTAATGTGTTTATCAAAGTGTACCGTTTGTTGATGGGTAGTATTCACTGAGTATTGAGCTAATATTTAGAAATATTAGCTCATTATAATATTAGCTATTTAGAAAGATGACTGTTAAGTTCCAAGCTAAAGACTCACCTCGATTGGACCATTACAATTCCCACAAAACCGTGTACTATCCTGGCTCGGACTGATGGGTGGATACTGACTGAAGATGTTCAAGGCCATCTGCGTTATTTCCTCTTGCTTCGACTGTGGAATGTTCCTCAATGACTCCAGCTTCACAAATGCTTGACTACAATGGGCATAATTCTGGGAAGAAATATGAACCAGGAAAATTAATAATATGACTTTATGCATGTCAATTTTCTATGATCAATTTTGAAGTTATTCATACCAAAGTAAAATGAAAATTGTATGTGTAGATATAAAACTTCGCTTAAATGTATTCCTATAACTTTTTAAATATTATAAGAATAAAAATTTGTAATAAGATTATTTGTTGAAACTTAAAGCAAAGAAAATGCACATCATTTATGCTTATAAGGTTTGAATAGAAATAGGATTTCTAGTATATAAGTAAATTATCATACTCATTTACTTTGCAACATGATTTTCTCGTGATAGAATATAACTGAAATATTTTCAAATCATTTAGTAATTTTACTATCTCATCAAAATTCCACAACATTTTTTGAAAGAATAAGTTGAAATTCTTTTGATACAAACCGAATGCATTTGAAAATATTCTAGATATTTGATATCTACGATTTGACGAAATAAGACATTTGGACTCAGTATGTGTGAAGTTCTAAAGTCGACTCTTGATTCACTTAGATCTGACATTCCCTTTTGATTGAAATTTGTAACATTTTATGGTTACGCAAAATCCAAAGATAGTCTATAGTTATATATACCAATATACACTCAAGGGTGTGTGCCACGTAAGTCGCTGCTACATACCTTGTTGTAAAAAGTCGTCAATGCGATCAGTGAGTAGATCTCTTCATCACTTAAGATATCGTTATAATTCCGTAGCCACCACGAAATCTATGACAATCGAACGAGGCAAGATGAGCATATAAATTTCAGGTTATGTTGTTCAGGTCATATTATTCAAGTAAAGAGTCTTCAGTTAAACATACTTTTCAATTACACTTGTGCAGGAAATAAATGTACATGGATGGAAAAATTCGCAGGATATTCAGTAAAATAATGGCTCCGGCTTTTTCTACAATAAGTTTATAAGTTTTGACGTAGCACAGTACATCGACAAACTTTAATGAGGTGCCGTATAATGAAGATAGAAAGGATAGAACCTTCATTGCTTGATCGTAATGACCGGCATATAGCTCCCGTTGCGCTAGCAACCAAAGATGGTAACCTTCTGCCCCGTGCCATGCATTATCTAGAATTGCTTCTGAAGTTGCCACTGTATCATGCTGATTTACAACACGCAATTTGTAGATGAGTTCGAACTAAGTTTGAAGAAAACTGTATTTACAAATTCACGAAGTCAGGCCATGTGTTTGGATATGTATATAATTCAAATTTCATGTGGTGTTACATCATAATTTAAGTTTGCCAACAGGGATAAAATCGTTTACCTTTACAGTTTAGATTATTCTATTGTGGCGAGAATGTTTTCTTAGAGGCAGAAGAGTACTGAATGTCAAGCACATCGACTCCTTAAATAATGCACCGTAAATATTGCTGGCATTTTACAACTACCTGCAAAAGACCTTCGAGGGTTGTGGCCGCCTTGGAATTGACGACTTCGCTGTCTTCCATGCAGTTCTGAAGGAGATAGGATGGCCTTATTTCTTTCATCAACTAGAAAAAGTCAAACCCTTCTTTCATCCACTTAGCGTTAAGAAGATTTTATGTTCGGTCAATTTTGTTCATATAAGTTTTCTGGTCGGCATGTGAAAACTCGTGTTCTTCCAATAATCGTCGAATGGTACCTTGGAGGCAAGTATCGATGACCTATATGCTTCAACTTCAAAAGCTGCCAGCACAAACAGCTTCTTCGCTTCTAGTGGATTTCCCTATTCATCCAAAAAATTCATATAAGTAGATGATGAGAAATCAGATAGAAAACTTTAAGTGGATATCGTGATGTAGAGACGAATCATGCAATCAGTAGTTTCAGCTCCAACACTCCAAGAACCCACCGTTTTCTTGGCACATGTTTTGGCCAAGTTAGTCAAAATCTTTGCTGCTTGTTGATGTTCTCCAGCTCTTTGATAAACCTCAACAGCATGCAGCGGATTTCCAGATTGCAATAGATAACTGGTGTATTTGGCAAGTGTTCCACTGACAAGTTTTTCACAGTCATGGAGCTTTGAAAGTTCCATTGCTTTCTGCCAAAAATTTAGCTCCATGCAACAATTGATGGCACCCTTCACATCCCCACCTCTCACAAAGCATGTAACCTACGTGAGAAAAAGCACATAATTACATTCAGTGGAAAGATTGCAATCATTTGGTTCTGATGAATCCACTTTTCATGAAAGTCACTAGACAAGTATTTTCTAGTTTGCCTTTGCGCATGAATCTTCGGGCGTGTGCTTGAATGAATGACATATTTTGTGATATATGTGGTTTAGTTGATTTTTTTCGTATTGTATCCATACATGACTATTTGAGGCATGACACGAGTTCGTAAATATTGCGTTGAAGGACTCACCGCATGCTCGCAAATGCCAACACTAGCAAATTTTTGTCCGATGACAATTAGCAAAGGAGAACCATCATGAAGGGTGTTCATAAGTCTCTCAAGGTCCAACCAATTTTGTAAGGCATAGAAACACTCAGCTAACTTCTCACAATTATTAGCTTTTGCGTAATATGTTGCTGCCTTGCTCCAATTTTGTCGATCAGCGTAGTAGTTGCCAATATTGTTCCATGTCAGCTCCAACAATGAATCATTTCCAGCTCCTCGACTTATCAAAGCTTCTACTCTGGAGTTACAAAAGTTAAATTACGAAATTTTTTTAGAACCTCAGAGATTTGACATCTGAAAAGAATCAGCCAGTTTATGCAAAATCTTCTGATTCGTAAAGAATGAAGTACATCTCAACTTATATAAATTATACGCCAAGTTTGCTAACTTACATGAACCAGTCTCCCATTTTTATACGCAAGTCAATGGCCAAGTCAGTTCGGTCCATCTCAAGATAAAGCTTTTCAGCTGCATCAAATTTCTCGAAGTAGACACATATCTGAGGTGATAGATGATTATTTTATCATCAATATAAGAAATAATATTCATATCACCTACTTTAAAAATTACAGGTATTTAAGTGTGACTTCTACAAAAGTACCTGCATGTTCATGAGCATCAACTGCAAGTGAAAGACTAAGTTTTTTGAACTCCATTATACCTCCGCCTTTTGCTTGTTTCTTTCTTTGATAATGTGAAGGCCCTTCACAAATTGTATGCCATAGAAATCTTCACATCTCACAAACGCCTGGAAGCATGCAATTGAAACCAAGGATATCTTGAATTCGTCCCACACCATGATCAAAAAATTGAATCTTATAGTTTTTCCAAATGATAGTGCATAAATGAAACTTCTTTTTGAAAGTTGAGAGTGTATTAGAGATTTATTTGACCTTTCAGCAACAGATAAATCTAGTGTCTCAAGAGCATATTCCGCAAGGGATCTCCACAATTAAAACCAAGGATATTTTCAAATCGTCCCACACCATGAGTGACAAACTGTTTCTTCTTCTCGAAAAGTTATTCCAAATCATAGTGCATAAATGAAACTTCTCTTTGAAACCTGAGAATTAAGTAGAGATTTAATGGACCTTTTCAGCAACAGATAAATCCAATGTCTCAAGAGCATATTCCGCGAGGGATCTCCACAAACGCGGGTGGGAGTGATCTTCGACGTATATAAATGCATCTTGAATCTCAACCGCTTTCAGCATTTGTCGGGTATCACGCAATGATTTAGTTTCATAGTTGAAAACATGCTCCTTTCCTAGTTTCTCTGGTTGTCTCATGACCTCATCTAAATGGACAGCTTGAATCTGTAAAATGACTCCATGGTTTTGTTAGAGGTATTCAATCGGTAGTAACGTAAGGAGAATACAAATTATCACTGTTGTCAACCTCTGACTTTATGCAATTTAGTATAAATATAAGATTTTAATTTCATATCAATGATAAACGAAGTCAAAGGTGAATTCAGCAATGTGACAAAGGAACGTACTTGAAGATTATGGAAATTGCACAGATAAGCTGTACAAGAAACAGGTTCTTCAGGATCTGTACCCCGAAATATATACATACGTGTCTTCTCCATAACAGCAAGTAAATCAGGATTGTCATCTGCCCATTTCATGTCCCACACATCTTTCCTCTCAAAATCTGATACTCGTTCACAAATTGAAGCATGCTGCACATTGTACATGTCAATAAATTAGATTTGGCGATAACTATATATATTTGATATCCTCCTGAGAGTCCCAGATCTCCTAAAATACTGGATATTCACAAAACATGTGATATGGACCTAAGCAGTACCAAGCTAATCATTCTCTGGACTAGATAAGACTTTTTACACTTAGTGTACATCTTTCTGTTAAGAAATCATTCGATTTTAGTTGTTTATGCAGCAAACGAGTTCTGTAGACAGCATGTGTGAGCACCATCAAATGAAGTGCACAAGTTGAACCTTTGAACTCGGTGTCAAAATCTCCTCAGCTCTCTTTTTTTCAAACATATCATAAAAACTCAAAACTCCATTCACATCAATGACGGACAGCCGATTCGAGTTGCAATTGAGTTCCAAAGCTGCGTGATGTACACATCTCATGAGAAACTTGTTTCATTTCAAGCTATATAATATACTGATAAAAGAATGGAGATCATATCTGTTGACTATTTTTTCCTTAAGCATTATGACATATTATTTTGATATGAAAAATAAAAGTAATATGTCATCATGTGCTGTGTCAAATTCTATTCGGTAGACTTTGACATATTTATTTCAAAAAATTGTAAGTATAAAAGTGATGCATTATTATACTATATTGGGGTCAAACCTGGTTATGATTGATTTTTATCCATGGAATTCTTCTTCATAAAAATTATTATCAGTTGATGGCAATCTTATATATTTACCCAGATTTGCAACATGCATAGATACTATTTACACAATAGGGTGAAGATATTTCAGCTTTATTTTTCTCAAATATATCAGTAAATTTTAATTTATTCTGAAAAAATAATTTCATATAATATAATAATCGAACTTTAAATTTATACTTTATTCAACCAAACATCTAGATTTTTTAATTTCTTTTCAAATGAAATTTTTTAACACATATTCATCTTATATATACCCGAAAAATTAAGGAAAAATACTATTACAAGAAATAAATAAAAATGACACAACCTAATTTGAAGCCATGCTCAAATGAATCTTATTTGACTTATTGTCTTATTTCCTATCCGGACTATTTACCACTGGTAAATACCCCATGAGGTAAAGCTAAACGTCTTTACCTGCTTTGCTATTTTATGTTGACTGTTCAGTATGTCAACTTTTATCCGAAATTCTCCATTTTTCAGTTACCAAGTGGCGTTGCAAAATCAATTATTAAGTTGTCTTCTAAAAGAAATAATAAAATATAATATAATTCATAACATATATTGAAACACATGCAAGAAATATAAATTTAATTCACTTTGACGAAGCTAAACGGGACTTGACTTGAATTTATATATTCCAAATTATGCACAATAGAATAATAGAATTATTATCAATTTTAAAATTTCAAAAACCAATGACTTTGAGTGAGATAAAACCGCATGAATTGCACACTTACTTCTGATCATATAATATATATGAAGAGATAAAATTCTCGCTGACAAGAAGCAATAAGTCCATAAGATTCATACCTTTATATCGAAATGTATGAATAAAAGTGCTACTACACTCCATCATTACATACCTTGAGGTCTACATGTCAGAAGTCCTTTTGTCTCCGACATTGTTGGCAAGTGATACCGATGTAGTATACCAGATTCTCTCCCCACGATCAAATATCTGTCGGAAGAACAAATGCAACAGATTTGGTCCGTACTGCTATCGAGAGTTTCTCCATCGATATCCTGCAGAACGTTAGAGATTGAACTGATTTCACTTATAGTTTTTCCGAGTCTCATTTAAGCATGCCAAATTTCTGATCACAAAGTACATTGAAGGTGGTCATCTACTTATGAACCTAACTTAAGCAAGGATTCTGGGAGCTTGAGACCATCTCAGCAAGTAGTTGAATTCCTCAGAAATTATATAAAACCATCCGTCAATTGTTCTTTCGTCCAGTTGTTTTCACTGAAAGTGTCTTTGCACCTGATCTGGCGGATGTTGCAAATCATCAATGTGAATGATGTGCTCCTGAAGAATAACGGGATCTACTCCATACGCTTGGGACTCATGTGTGCCCTTATACATCCATACAAAAATCTTGTCTTCCGAGGCTATGAATACATAGCTCTGCATATCAGCAATTGAAACTTTAAGCAGGAAAAGTTAATTTTTGTTCATCATGTGGGTTCATTCGTATTCTAAATCAATATAATTACATGTTTCACAATCAACCCTCAACGTGTTTCAAGTAGATCGTATACTGCTAAAATATTTGGTGTCCTTCATATATGAAATCACACTAACTACATGTCACAAAAATATCCTGCGATAGAAACTATTTTTCATTTATCTTTTTTTATGACTTGTTTAAGTACAATACTGACTTTTGATTTCTCCTACACGAATCGCTATAAGCATTTCTGCTAAAACTTTGCATAAAAGCCGAAAGTGACCTGACATTCAATATTTTCAATTAGCAAAGCACGTTTGACATTGTAAATGGTAACTTACAGAATTCATGGTAACGAAGAGTGGTTCCACTGAGATGTTTTTGGAGTCAACGGGGTTACCGATGGCGTTGCATAAGATCAGTATGTACTGATCTGGTATTTCTCCCTAGAAGTCATACATAACTTATCAACTCTCGATTTACATAACTTTGGTGTAACGCGTCTTGCAATACAAACTTGGAGGTATGACAATCATAAACAATCATCATCTGTAGGAAATGCTGACGATCTCTTCAAGCTCACCACGGTGGCCAAAACGCAATGCTCCCCACCTCCTGATACAGCAACTAGGCGATTCACATATTTGCAGTACCTAGTTTTGAAACATAATAGCATACACAACAGAGAATTCGTGTGAGATTCCTCCTGCATTACATATGATTCGACGACGTGAGATACAACATCAGCCACACGAAGGCGACATTTCAACACTTCGACTGGGTTTCAGCAAGCAAGAGCAATTGTTGTTAGGGCTGAATCTCACAGAACCGCATGAAGTCAATAATTCGAGCACGTCGTTGCTAGAGTCTAGCAACAAGGTGCTATCTTAGTCTAGCAGCTAGACTAAGATAGCACCTAAGACTAGATTTACTCACTCCTTTTTTGAACTACATATTTAAGATCTTATACAGATATCAAAAGAATCTATCAACTCACACAAGACCCTTCTTAGAATTGTTAGCATGAAATAAAGCGTTTTATTAAATCAGGATTTCGAGATGTTGAAGATACCTCTCATTTGTGCTGATATTCCAAAACATTACTGAATGTTCAGCATGATCTCTTTTTTTGTATCCATAGACACATGTGCTGCTGCCAAAGAATGCTCTCTTGTACTCTGGCCTTATATTTGCAAGGTAGATATAGGCGTCCACTGCAAGGGCCAGTCTCAACCCTCCACCCTCCCAAGCCAAAGCACTATATTCTTATCAGTTACATAGACTATTTTCACACTAGACCGGGAACACTTCCCTCCACACTCTAACTATCCTATCGATGTATAATGTATGTGAGAAGCTTAAAAGGACATTGTTGGAAATATGTTCACAACTAGATTACAGTAGAAAGTGACCTTGACGTGAGATGAAAGACAGGAAGCGCAAGTCCATAGCATTTCTCAGCATGCACATCTCATCTTGAGAACATCAGATTACCAAAGTCCGGGCATATCTTTTTCGAATAGTTCACTTCTACAAGAATTCTTGGAGAAGGTGGCTGGGCTTACAATTAGTCAAAGACCAGAACTGAAAGAGTTATATGCATCAAATGTCGGATGCACGCTTTACGAAGAAAGTTGCAAGACACTAGTGGCCTATTGATCTTTTAGGGGCTTTCGAGGTAACATCATAAGTATAGGACTACAGAAACTGAGAAGTTCCCATTAAACCCACCCCCTTCTTCCCCCAATTATTATTACAGTTTTATTGCACAGGTACATTGAAGTAAATCAACTAAAATAAATCTTTCTTGTTAAACTCCAGACTTGAGTAAGAAAACAAAAATCCTTCAAAGTTGGACAGTGAAATTAGATATTACTGGAAAGGTTAATAAACCATGAAGCTTATGGGGTGCCTTTACAGGATCCCGTTACACATAGAGAGTGAAATGCAATTCCTTAACGGGTTAAATTTAACTTTTGTTACCCAGATTATTATCTATTCATGTTTGATACATTCCTACAAAGCTCTGTCCCTAGGAAAATAGTTTCCCGATCAGTAAATGAGAAATTTTTAATGAAAGCTGTATTTCGAAGAAGGGAACCCTAGGAGCTCCCTTCTTTCCCATGGTCTAATAAAAGACTTAAAAAACTGGACAGCAGGTCTGTCATTGGACAGATAATCGCTTATTGGATAACTTCCTTCTGAGAAAAAAATACTTATGTTTCATGACAATATAATCAATAGACTGTGTAGTGGTTGATGGGTACCGACAGTTATCTATCCAATTGGAAGAATCAGAATGTTCATCGTTTATCATGAAACACATTATGACCCACCGCTCTTACAAGCAACAGAAAACTCACTCTCATTTTCATTTTCATTTAATTTTCATCTCGTTTTGGATTATTCTACTCAAGCTTATTACAGTAGGTAGGGGACTCCAAATGATAGGGCATCCAGTCTTTTTGCCAAACCGAATTAGGAGCTTTATTGGTATGTCAATTAGTTCACCATTAATTTCAATCAGTTTACCATAAGTTAAGGATATTAAAACCTATCCCTGACTTGTAACAGTAAGCCCATCGTGTATTTTTGTGCCTATTCTACATGGTATGTAGTTCTCTAAATGTTGTGGACTAGTGGTAATTTGTGGAGGCTTGGTTTGGTTTGGCAACAATGTAATTTAGCAGTGTGTGTTACCTTGTTTTGGTCCCCGGCACGTGCAGAGTGCGTAGGTGTATCCCTGTGTTTGAATATAATTGAACCATCGACCCTTGAATATCGGAATCCGAAACCTCAGATCCTACAACGGCGAGAACCTCACCATCAGGACTCCATTTGATGCAGATTGTTGTCATTCGAGTGTCAATCAAGACAGGCTCTTCATCCAGCTCGTGTCTCATCAGCTATGAACACCAAAATAACCCAAGCAGAATGAGTTAATGCATGCTTTTTCAATTTCCAATATCCTTTGGTGATCGACCAGAACTTCCCCAAGCATCCAACACAAGAAATTCCTCATGTGTCTGTCAGTATCTTCTCAGGGCAGATGTCAGTTGAGGTTAAAATCTTTCATCCTGCTATAGAGAGTCAGTACAAACAACCCTGAACTTGTGACAATTTTCACGTATCAGAACTCGATCAGAAAATGGCTTATGTGTGAAAATGCGTAAAGCTTGTAGGGTCGAGCGCAACCATTTCAAGATTTCTAACAAATATACTAACTTGAAGTTTTCCACTTGCAAGCGCAAGAGCCAGTGTAGGTGCCGTTGGGTCGTTATATCCTTCGACCCCATTATACCAATCAATTCCCACAATGCGTATGCCGGTTCCTTTGTTGAAAAAACAAATGACAAGCTCTGCAACATAGTTACTGTTGCAATCGTATATAAGACAGGTGCCCTGTTATAACAAAATCCTCCAATGTTAGAGTTTCACCTGGTGTTGTTTAAAAAGTATCACAAGGCATTGTATGACGTCATTGGATCCACGTCTATATTATCACTAAATTTTGTAGGTACTTTGGGACATAGTCCCTTTGATTGAGAATGACATCGGGACCGTGAAGTTCTTGGTACGTCTGAGTAAAAGAAAATTTTGAAGGCCATCTGTCTGAAGAACTTCTGCTCAGGTATATTGTGAATATAACCTTATAGGGCGTGAACAATGTGTGAATGGGAGACGCATAGAATAAAAGGCGCTGCACGCTATAATAGGTCTCGATAAACGATGTGCGCAAATCTGGGAACATGCTATATGTTGAAGTATATGCTAAACATTGTGAACGTTGTTTGCAGGAGAATATCTTCAGGGAGGACAAGGTATTTTGTGTATTTGAAGACGGTTTCAAGACGTTCATTTTGACTTTCACTCCTTTTGCATACGGTTCAAAAAATCCTCGTATCTGAATACCTGAGTAGTGCAGAAAAGAATGAGCCTCCCATCAGGTGACCACTCCACAAGGCAGAGTTGGGCATTTACATCCTTGCCCCAGAGTCTGTTTCCATCTACATTGCCCATAACAACTTGACCATCTTCGTATGCAATGCATATCTTTTGTCCATCAGATGACCATCGCAAGTCTTTCACTACACTCTTGTTCCGGTTGTTGATCATTTCTTCAAACCACATTCCCTGGCATGACACCACATCCCAAAGCAAGTTGAGATACTTAAACGAAGGAGTGTAACATTCTTAATGAAAACCTGAGCTGTAGTATATACCCCTACGCCTAGGATTTTATATATATATATCCACACACACACACTACGTGATGTATTCTGGAATACTACTTCTCAGTGTAAATCACCTTCTTAGCTAACGCTCATTTCAGATCTCTTGCAGTTTGATCCTTGGAACTACTTTTGAGCCCAAAATTGTCAGCTGGATAAGTACTCAGCTTAGTTATTTTTTAATTGTGATTGAATCTCTTGGTCTACAGTGGGGTCATCAAGACGCTTGTGAATCAAATCTCACCTTGTGAAGAACCCAGACAATCACGAGACCTTGTTCGTCGCTGGTGGTAAGTTTACGGTAGTTTTGATTCCAAGCGACAGCCACAACTGTACCGTGATGACCCTCTAGAGTTTGATTCATAGATAAATTGGATGCTGTTGGCATCGTAGATCTCTGTTTGTTCTCTTCTATCGCACTCCCTGTATCCAACATCAAGACCTGAAGAATACATGGATATTGTCAAATTTGAGGGGCAGTACCGCTGCGCTCCAGTCTTTTTAGCCCAACAAACTGAACTTAAGCAGCTCCTTCGGTCTCCTCGTTTTTGAACGCAATTTACAAATTGAAACAAAAGATATTTCGGAGTGAATTTTCAACAGGTTAGATGATATCAACCTTAAGTAGACCCTGCTCACCACCGCAGGCAAGCCAGCCCTGCTGTGAATTCCATGCCAAGGCTTTTAGTTTCGTCCCATTGGGCATACTTATTTTTTTGCTCAGATAGAGAAACATCGTGGCTTGTGTTTTCCAATGGGATTCCAATGTCTTCCGACCTATGTTTCCGTTGATAAAGATAGATACCCCTCGGAAACTGCTAAATCACTCTTCTGACCACAGAGACATTCGGCTTGAAAGATGCCACAACTTCGCAATCTGTTCCTTGGATTCTCATTGTTGATTTCTTCGGATGTCTGCAAGTTGAAATAAATCCGACATGTGCGGACAAGAGATCAAGCAAGTTCGAGATTCTGGCTAATATGCTCCAGGCTTGATGAAAAAACAGGTGTTGACGTCCAAGTTCGAAATCAGTTCAAACAACTGTTTAAAGACTCTGTTTGCAGAGAAGCAGTCGAGCCCACTATCAAACGAGAGGCCAATCGCTTCACGGGAGAAACCTACGGTGCCTGCGGGCAAAAGTCATCGCCATTGCTACCAAAGAACACATCAGAAGTGTCAACATCATAAGCCACGCCACGCCACGCCAAAATGATTCTGGTGAGCTAGTCACTCCGTCCTATGGCATGTGCTTCGCCTCAGGCGAAGCGAATTCAAGGGCGGACAGTGTTCGAGAACACCGCTAGCGTTGAGACTCGACAGCGTCCCGCAAGTGGCAACATTGAGAAAGCGACGCTGCATCGAAGCATCTGTCGACTCGACCGACAGCCTGGCAGCAGCGGACGGGCGGCCCTTCGTTTCTTTCTCCTGCTTGCATGAACGAGGTTCGTTTTTACAAGGTCAGGTCTTCGGTGTCCTTCCAACACAGTCAACTGCGTAAAACGCATCAGTAATTCTGAACAAGATCATCAGCGAACCCAGTTGACCAGTACGGTGTAGCTCCGTACTGTGGTAAGTGCAGCCGTCGAGACGAGATGTATTCTGAAGAATCAACGGCATCAGCACGGGCATAGTGACACCTACCACCCAGAACCAAAAGAACGGAATGCTGCTGACTGGTATTGCCAGTTCAGTTACAGGGACTTGTATACTTCGCCTTCAACGTCCTGGTCGTTACCAACGAAGGAACATGCATAATTCGCTGTGATATCGTTTTGAAGATGTGATTCTTGGGAACGTGAAGACTCGTTCTTGCTCCAGTAGAAGGGCTCGGCTTGTGATGCACGCAACTTTCTGGCATCACAATTTTTCTTATATATCGACTGATTTGGCCATAGTCTTAGTCCGTAGACATGAGAATCTCAAACCAAATATTCTCTCAATCATTCGACCTTCGATCTCATAATGCTCTCCAGTTCGGTGACTCTGACCTTCAAGTCAGACCTTAAGCTTAGAACCAATAACCTTTTGTGAATGACAGTACACTTATTCTTCGCCAGACAATTCTCCAACCAATCTGTTCTTCCTGCAATTCGTAGAAATTATTCATCTGAAAACAATCATGGGGTATGGATTTTGATATTATTCTTCAATTTTCAAAATGTGAATGTCTTTTGATATTATCAAAGACTTTCCCCATTGTGATGCTATTGGGGCTTAGACTGTTTGGTTCAATCCGTGTACGGGTCGTGGGGTCTTTTCATACTCTTTGATATTTCAATTTGGTTATCTCCACAAATATTTCTCATCGTGCCTTGTGGATTGTTCTCATCCATTCTGCTATATCAGTTCGTTACTTATTAATGCTCATGTTACCCGTTTTCTTAATTGTACGACAAGATGTGTCTTTCCATGTTCTGTTCTCCTAATGTACTCGATTTAAATTTATTATAGATATTATGATGCGTGTGTGTGTGTCACGATCTATTTAAATGCAGTAGTTACGTTCGTATTAAGATATGCGTTTCGAGGGCGGATAAAACCATCAGAGCTAATTTTGTACTGAGTTGAAATGCTCTAATTGCACGTGAAGTCTACGGTAATTTTAGCTGATCTAGGGTTTAAAGAATAAAGCTCAATTTAAAGCTAGTAAATTTTGTTTTTTAAATTTCTCGTAATGATGAAATTTCTTACAATAATGATTAAAATTCTAGATTTTTTAATCCAAAACTTAATATGATTTGATATGTGAATGTAAGCTTTTATCACTATATAACTATCTTATCACTATATAACTATCTGACTTTAAAAGTTGTGATGTTCAAAACAACTATATATTTCGTAGTTTACATCAATATTATCTTGAGATTAGTTAAGTAACATCTAGTTATCACTCAGTGTAGTTTAATTATCTCTCATACTAACCTAATGGGTGTCTTTTCTTCACTTTTCTCTCTGTCTCCAAAGATTATATCACGTAATTCTGATAAACATCAATATAGCTCTGATCAATCACATAACTTTGTTTAGTATGGTGATAAATCACATAGCTCTCTTCAATAGAGTAAGGTAAAATTAGTCCAAACTGAGTGATAATAAATCAATTATTTAGTTTAAAAAAATATACATAATGATCTAAAATTTAAATGAGGGATATTTGAAATATATGAAAAAAAGAGTCAATCATTGTCCAATTGTTATTAGTACCTAGTATATATTTTCTGACGTTTATTTTGCTAGTGTATTTGTAAGAGTATAGATACTAAAGTGACCATGGTGTCTACGATAGAGAGCTTTTCTGTCACAATGTTTTTCAAAAATTACAGATACATCAAAGACATGTAAATTAGACGCAAAGAGTGTGTGGTTTGTCTCCAAATATTCTATCGATCACAAAAATTTTATGGTCAAAAATTTTGAGACAATATTGGAATTCAAAAGAAAGAATTAATTAGTTCTCACTAGCTCTAGTAGTTAGATTTAATCCCTAATACAAATATTTCAAAAACATTGTGAACAACCTATAATCAACATGATTTAATACTAAAAATCTTTCCTTTATCGCATGGTAAGAAGATAATAGCTTCCATAACCTATATACTTACTTTGCATGTCTAGTAAATCTAACATATGCTATTTTTGAAACTAAAATTAATTAGAACTAAAACGTAGCCAAACTAGGATAGAAATATATATATATATATATATAACTAAAATTGCTAGTAAACTCCATTTGTGATTCTCATGCAAAAATTGCATTGTAATACAATTACTCAATTTAGTCAACGCATCATTTAGATTGAATTTATCATGAATCTTGACTAGCTCAATATTTTTAATACTCTTAATTAACGTATCAGGTGATACATGATGTCAATGTATCTCAATCTGCTATCTATTAGTTGATTTGTAAGAAGATGTAACACATTTTGTCTATTACAATGAAGACTGACAACTTACCGTTTGAATTTCATCATAATGATAAATCTATTCAACCAGATAGCTTCTTTTGTTGCTTTTGCTGCCGTTATATATCCAACTTTTGTTCTAGATTTCGTTATACAATTTTTTAGCATAGATTTTCAACTAATGCATCCATCATCAAGTGTAAACACAAATCTAATTATAGATTTTTTTTGTCCATTATCAACATCAACACGGTCCAGTAAAAATTTTGTCGTTGTCTAATTAATAATAAAAGAATAACTTATAATACTTAATACTCTTTGAATACATGAATATATATTATACTACTTCCCAATTCATCTTTTTTGAGTTTGACATATACATGTGCATTTTGCCCATAGCTAGAGTAGTAGCAAATCTCGTACATACCATCAAATAAAAAAGATAGTTCATGTCTTTGTTATTAAAATTTGATAACATCTTTTCATTATCAATGATTTATTTGGACATTGAGCTGCAAAAAGTGTAAAATATGTTGTCAAAAAAATTGGTACTATTTTAAAATTTACCATCTTAAACTTATCAAGTACACATTGAACGTACTTGCTTTGATTCATTCTGAATCTTTTACCAACAACAGAAATATCCACTCAAGATTTTTGGCTTCGTTGAGCATTAAAATTGAAGTGTGGCAAATGTCAAGTAGCAATCTTAACTCACATTGAGCAATTTGCACTATATGTGGAGAGATTTTCTTGAAACGATGAGCCTTAACAAAACCGATCAATCTTGCGACTCCACGTCAATTTCGTCAACTCCCAAATGCCGGTGATGAACCGTGCGTAGAAGTTGACATTGAAACCATAAAGACATGAGCTCTAGAATGTGCTTCATCCAACCTTCAAAAAATCATCAAAACTTGACGTTGAAAGAAATACATCATAATTTATTATCGCTGTGTAAAACGATCTAATCATCCTTTCACAAACTGATATGCAATTTTTACTACTACCGTTATATATGAAATAGCAAATAGCAGAAGAGCAAGGGTTTGAAGAAAGAAGAGGCAGAAAAACAAAGTGATGTTGGCTCCTCCGTGACTAAATCTCTCTGTCTCTCATTAATCGCAGTTAACGTTAACGACTAATTTATCAATCAATCCACCGAAATGATTTGCTTATCAATGAGATACGAACGGTATGTGTTAAAAGGTTTTGGCCATCAATCTTGAAGTGTGCAATCAAGGTGGAAAATCTTATTATATCGAACGTACGTATTGTCATTGGATTCAATCGTCAAAATTGGTCTATAGTACAAGCGGAAAAAGTTTACTCTTTCACATTAATTTTCAATAAGCATTTGATTCCGTCCAAGGATTTAGGAGAGTGTGAAGGTTTGAAGTCTTTGAGAATACGTGATTTGTTGTGAAAACTCAGTTGACCATATCAAATCAAAGCATACTCTCAAAGATGAGATAATTATTTGATGGAATACCATGAAATTCCAGTATTCTTGATGCGACCCAATACGTTCTATTTTACCCCATGGAATCTTTTCAATGTCGGTTCAATTCATCTTCACCGATGGTCTATTCATCGTATGAGAATATAAGTGACAGTGAAGTGCTGATGGGATATGCTCGTCGGATAAAATGGAGCTTGCTCATCAAGCATGATCAGACTACTTTAAATGTGGCAATTTGGTCACAAATGCCATAAATAGCCACATATAACTTTTGCGCGGCGCCACGAATAAAGTCTACTAGATAGATTCACTCGAAAGTCATTTTTTCTCATTTTGTTTTGCTTTCAATGACTGCCAAGCGTCAAACACTTTATAAAATTGAGCATTCACTTGAATTCGATATCAAATTCTGTGAGCGCAATGTTGTCTTGAAAGTTGTAGTATCAACGTCTTGTCTTTTCTGCATTCACTTTGGTCGTCAAGAGCAAATCGGCGTGAAACAAAGCCGCACAGTAAATGTTATGTACTTCAAGAAGCCCTTTCGTGCCGACACGTACCTGAAGCACATGATGTCGGAGCATCTAGGACAGTGGAGAGAGTACAGTGAGTTCCCTCCCACTTAAAAGACTGTATTCTTTGATGACAATGCTCTTGAAATTCACCACAACACTATCAAATCACGTTTTTCTGGTGCTCAAGTTTCTCTTCACCTAATTATGAACAAGCCTATTGTTGATGTTATCATCGGATAGATGATCTTCCATCCTTATGATTCCAACGATGAAATTACAAAGTAAAGTGCTCTCAACATTTTTGAAGATGTGCTCAATCTTTTAGAAGCCAATGCTACAACTGACGATGACAATGTAGACGTCGTTGTCGATAGATATTGCATCGACTTGAAGAATTCAGCTTAGTTCAATCTGATAGTTGATTTCCTCATCATCGGCGCTTCCTTTCGAATGGCCTCAAAAATTCTTATGATGACGAAAGAGCGCGCTAACTTTGCCTCTATTGGCTCTACATCTAAAGGTGAGGTGACCAGCTACGCTTGCTTTATTTATGCGCTGAATCTTCAAACGATGCTTGAGCTGCTCTCTCAAGTGTGGACTTTTTTGATCGCAATGGATATGTCTACTCACATGACGACATCCTATCTAGACATCGAGA